TCTCTGCAATTAAGGAGACCAACCTGCACAAGAGAAACCAAAGTTAGAACAAATATGTTCAATGAAGGCAAATATGTAAAAATGAAACCATAATTAACCTCAAATTTTAATGAAAAAGCGTGCGAGACAAAGTACCAGTAACCGTAAGAATGAAATCGAAGATCGAAGAAAAATCAGCAGAAGCTAAAGAAAAGCTTCAAAATCTACTCTATTTCATTATCTTACGGCTCAATTAATCGTTAAATACACACTTAATTAAATGATACTATTAATGAGGTATAAATGAAAGTAAAAGAGTAAAAGAGTGTCGAAGAAATGATGCCACCGAAGAGACGCCACCGATAGGTTAGAAAAGTTACAAACCTTATGCGGCGTAATACGTGTTGTTGTTATGAAATCCGATAGTCGAATGACTCTCTACGGCACGTTTCATCCTTCAGTTGAGAAAGTAGGGGATGAGGTGATCCTGAACCAACAGGCACGATAGTTAAACGAACATAAACATTGTGTTTGTGTTGTTTTGAATTTCGAGCTTCAAGGCCTTCTACGTCTTACTTTATTTGAGATATGAAAAATTTTATTATATTACGCAGTAAAATTATTATTTTATTAAATACATACATTCTTAATAAATTATTGTTGAATTTAGTATTAGAATTGTTAAGAAGTATCAAGTTAAAGAATCAACAAATAAGTAGAAAATGTTATAATAGAAGTGTGTGTATAAAAGCATGTAATACGTGTATATATATATATATGTAGAAAACAATAAATTAGACAATTACAAAGTTACAATATTTCTACTGATTAGAATTGAAATTCAATTTGATATAAAATTATAAATAACTTTTGGTATAGTTTGTCTAAATGTTTATGTACCATTGTTTTTTTAATTGGTGAAAATTATGTCATTACTATTTGGTTAAATCTTACATACTTTTTCGATAATCTGGCAGATCTCGATGAATTGAAGCAAAAATGCAACTTTTATCTTAAAAATAAACAACACAAACAAATCTAACATATATAGAATTAAATTTTTGCTTAAGAACTTTTGAATTATACCTCTTTCTGCATAATTTTTCTGAATAATACTTCCTTCTTTACAAATGAGGAGTGCTTCTCTCCGCCATCTTTAACGGTCACTTCTCGGTTAAAAATCGATCACGAGCAATATCGATTTCGAGAATCGTAGGAAGTATAATCTGTATTTCGCTGTTGGCGCTGTAATCTTTAATTAATTTAAACCCAAACACGCGCATTTCGCATGAAATGTTAACTTGGAATAAAAAATAAAATACTTTATAAAAAAATTTATATCTCTTAACACATACTAAATGCCAATTTATCTAGAAAATAATTATATTATAGTCAGAAATTAAATTAACTGTTAGTTGTCTGTTACTAATAAATAGTCATGCAAATGAGAAAGCGTCGAATTAAATAATTTTCGATGCAGAGGTAACATTATTTATTTTTTCTGGTTTTAATCCCTATTAGAAGCGCTGCGGTACAAAACCTGCTTAAGTCGATATGATAGAATGTAACACGAAAATTGTAAGGGGATCAAGTGATCCCAAAAATGGACACGAATAAGCATTCAATGTCTGGTTTATCCTAGTTTGTCAATGGTTATAATTAGTCAATATCATTATGCTGTGATGCAAAAGTTATCAAAATCGATATGACAGGATGTGACACGAAATGGTAAAGCTTTAGGATTCCACGAGTGTGACAAAAACTGCATCATATGTTAGATTTATTTTTATGTGTATGCAATAGCTCTAGTAATCCAAAGATTTTCTATTTTGAAGATTTAATAGTATTAACATTGTATTAAAAATACTGTAATATTTAATGTAGAAACAAATTCGAATTACGCGCCACGACGCTACACGCCACGTGTTAGTAGCGTCACTTGTGGCAACGTGTTGTACTTTATACAAACTACTGTTCCTGATCGATAACTCGCCTAACATAGCGTCCTCTAAACGCGCGTTGTAGAAAACTGAACGTGTTAAACTGCAGACGAGATCCTTGGTCAATGATTAAACAACTACGATAACGTGACAAATCGCCATTTTAGGAACTAAAATTTGTGAATACAATAACAGGTACGTCTACTTTATTGTTCCTATTTCTTCTATTGCTTTTATTCGATATTCTGTCATAGGAACGCGTTATATCATTCGATTAACATCGTTGCATGAAAAGCTGACGCGACAGCAGCCGGTACTATCTTATTTATAACATACACAAGCAGAGTATATACATGTATATCTACAGACATCACATAAACATACTTATAAATCTTACATTATTAATTACATCATTTGAAAAAATACATAGGATATTTTCAAAGCATTATATAATAATTTTATGAAATATTATATTTGTATGGAATAATTACCTATTTTACATTACCATAAGTGTTTCGATCAACACACTGTATAGTGGTGCCTTTCGTAGAACAAACAAAAACTACTATGAACAACCTACGATTCAATCAAAGTTAAACTGATAGTGAAGGTCAAATTATTAAACAACTTTGTCATTAAAGTTAAATAAATAGTAAAGAAATTTTAGTAACATTATATTAATTAATAACAATTAAAATTTACTGATAATTGATTATCTAAATATCAGAATGTGGTAGTATTCAGGTTATACACTGATAAAATGCTTTGCATTTTGATTGATACAGATTGAATTTAGAAAAAAGTTTGTATCAAAAATATTTCCTTACTGAGGTATAGGTGATTTATATATGAATACGTAGCGCGGGAGCATGTTTAAAAAAATGGTAAGAGATAATGTCAACTAAAATCTTAACTACGTACATACATAAGACTGTAGATCTTTAAGAGAAAATAATTTGCCATTAAATGTAAAGCACTAAATGTTTGTAAAATATTTGTAAAATTGAAGACTCCGCTTTATAGATTTGCAACGTAGTATAACGTTATGTACACAACAATCTTATGCCATACGGAAACGTACGAAGTAAGCCGAATTCTCTCGATCTCTCGCTTCAAATTTATCATTTAACTGTCGACATACCGTGTTGCCATCGATCAGATCTCTTATTGTTCCAACGGATTAAATATCGTACATCAAAGACGTTCGTCTGGATCATCTTTCGAATCTTGTTCAAACATCGACGTCATTTTACATAATAATGTGGGTAATTTACTTTCTTCAGTTTTTTAGTGGAGCATTATTTCTTCTAAATGATATGTTCAAATTTTTGTAAAAAATAAATGTTCATTTATTAAACGTTTGTTAAAGATAATCAAACTGGCACAAGAAGGTAGCACAGTGTCGTTTATTGCCAGTTGAGTACATGGATGAGTAAAGACACAATTTATTGCACCGATAAAAATAGTATCCCGTGATTCATTAAGTTGATATGTTCGTTTAGTAACGTATATATCTATTTTCTTAAATCATCCTGTTCTATAACTTACAATTAGTCATAGAATTTGAAATTAATATGAAAAAAAGATTATCTTTAAAAAATTTTTAAACAAATTTACGATTTCTAGCAGATTAATATGAAAGTTATTAATTTTTAATGTATGAAAATTAATGTATGAGAAATGAATAGTTTTCACTTTATATTTGAAATTGACCGATCATATTTAATTTAGTAATTGTCTTTGTGTAATTTAACTTTGATAAAATGAATCTACGCTTCGTTAACCAATTATCTGGTGACTTTTGGCGAAATGTTTTCACCATTTAGGTCAGATAGAACACGTACTTGCCATCTTTTGTATATAGCATAATTATATTAATGGCGGTGACCTCGTTCATCATTTTCACTAAATATAATTTATTTCTCACGTTTTGGATATATATTCATTCGTGTCGTCGATCCGATGCACAATAGAATAGTTAGGAAATTGATTTTTTCGCTACGGCAGAATTACAAAGCTCTTACTCTTGATCTTTATCTTTTCTATTTCAATAACAAAATAACACTTTTCTCTGTAGAAAACTCATTTTATTGTACTCACTAATATAAACTCACGTGTATATTTGTTTCAGACATGTAACATGGAATCAGAAGAGCAAGTTCCGATCCTGCAACCGGACGAAAAACTTTCCAAAAGACTGAATATTTTAATTGAACAGTTTCGATCGACTTATAATGTCATGCCTTCGTTTTTCGTCAGAGTCCCAGGAAGGTACATTTTCTTAAATTTTATAATTAATTTGTAAGTTAATTGTAAAATCTGTTGCATCTGAACAACGAAATAACGATGAAACAAAGATATTTTATTGCTGTTTCAATAGATAATTATAGAAATAGATAATTATAGAAATATGGAGCTTTCAGTTCTTCAAATAATTGCGGTTATGTTGATCATCTATTCGCAGAGTTAATTTAATTGGCGAGCACATCGATTACTGCGGATATGCTGTTTGTCCGATGGCCATTAAAAGAGATATACTGGTTGCTGTAGCGGTGTCAAAGGATAGTGACATTCATCTCACAAATATGGACCCTAAATACAAATATTTCCAGTGCAGTATGAAAGACGTTAGGTGAGTAAAAATGACTATCAAAAGAAATTTCAATTGATAATCTAACGAGATGTTATGCAAATTCTTGAGATCTTATTTTGTTACATTCTAATGTAATGTGAAAATTTCTGTGAAACATTCCACTAAATTTCCTCAGTTTTTCGTTACTCTTAATTTTTAATGAGAGCAAACAACTTAACATATTACAAGTTGGTAAAGTGTAATTTGCATGCACATGGGTCCACTGACAAGAAATATCGCAAACTTCTATTACGAAAGATAAACTTAATACATCTCAAGCTTTCAAGGGTGTAAGTAATTGGAGTGTTGTGCTATATTCCACTTGCGGAAACAAGATCTAGGATCGAGTTGCAAATTTACCGCTTTTTCCCTTGAGTCTTTCATTTAACGTGAACACCTAAAGAATACTTCAACTAACTAAGAATATATATATACCAAATAGTTCTCTAAAAATTTCCACTCAAATCGATTATTATAAGTTAATATTAAATTAATATATATTATTATAATATATTAGTAAATATTTATAAATTAATTGTTTTCTAAAAACAAAGAAAGCAAGTTATAAATTATATTAAAAGCAAGATTAAATCTCAAATTGATATTTTGATTACGTTCGCGCTCTCATTCCGCTATTGTTTCGCGAATTGTCGGGTGGCCACAGTATAATACAAAATTCCGTACATAGCATCGGAATGCAATTTCACCGTTTTTCGCGATGCATTTCTCGCGAGGACAAAAATAAATGGCATTCAGTCTGACGTGAAATTAATTTGCCGGAAAGGTGGCACAGCTGTGGCAAACGTAGCCGTGTTGGATTAAAGTAAAAATGAAAGATAGAAGACTAAAGTTGGCCACGTAATTTCATTAGCTGCATCGTGTTTAATAACGACGATTGAAAATCCCCGTTCTCCCCGAAGAAATTGCCGCCTAATCGCGATCATTAAACATGCTTGCAGAACGTTCGCTTGTCAATTAATCCGCAGAATTATTATTTAACAGAACACGATTAAAATAAATTTGACGTGATATGACACGAACAGATAACAATAAAATAATAAAGCAGTACTCGAATAAAATTCCCAGAAATTTAAGACGATAATTACATTACAGAAAGTATTCGACAAAGTAAAACAATCAAAGATTTTATTGCAAGTTGAAAGGTAAAAATGATCATACTTTTGGCATTCGTATGATCGATGTATTTCTAAATGATAGCGAACGAATGCATTTGCATACAAAACTATTTGTGGAATGTAACGAGTTCCATAAATCAGTTGAAAGGGATCAGAATACCAGCTGTCTAGACTGTCATTTATTACGCAAGAAATGTTACCGGTTATCTGCAGCTGCTTCTTTGGTATTACGTGTGAAAATGCAATTGTTTAAACAAATTATCATTTTTATAATTCATTAATGATTGGCTTGATGTTTCTCAATAAAATAACAGCAGACTGAGTTACGATATTTTAAGAGAAAATAAAATATTATTTGAAAATGGTGACAAAATCAAATTGACATAAAATTTTTTCCGTAAATCAAGAGACAAATAATTTAAGAAAACGATTTCTGTGATTCATATATATATATATATATATGTGTTATACGATGTACATTACGTATACTTAATTATATATCAAATTATGGAAGAGAATGGTTATAACTTCTCTAATCTTTCTCTGTCGACGCCGGCAGCACAGAAGAGCAATTTCCATATATATGATCTTGATCTTCCTAGAAAGAAAGAAAAATGAAGTTTTTCTTAGTGCTAAAAAATAAAATAATTCCTTCAATTATTGTTTGTTATCTTTTTTATATAAATAAACTGAACATCCGTTTTATTAAATATAATTTATTATTAAAAAAGTTAAAAAATACAAAAAATACTTTTTGTATGTTTAATTTCTAGTGCTTAAATCTTTTACTTTATGCAATTCCCGAATTCTATTAAAATATGAAATCTACTAAATGTTTAATGACATTTAATTACAAGTAGTATTACTCTTAAACTTTCTTAATTAATTGATCTAAATCTAGTAAAAGCAAGTAAATCAAACAATATGTACTAACATTCTGCGTTCCTAGTCTTTATGTTTCTTCATATCATCTTTGTATTGAATTTTTAAAAATAATAAAGTACTATATTAATTCATTTTATTCTAACATATTTTAATACAATCATACAATCTGGTAGTGCAAATACCGGAGAAATATTTATATTGTAATGTTAATGAAATATTAAAGAATTGTTATAATAAAGGTAACATTAAAAAGTCCAGTATAATAATATTATTAAGTAATAATATCTTACTATAAACATATTTCATTTGTAGTTTTATATAAAATTTTTATTATTGATATATAGTAAAAGAACTTCACATGCTTCTTTTTCTGTAAGCTTTTATCTGATTTGAAGAAGAAAAGAAAATAGCTTGAAATAGATGAAGTTATGACATAGCCGCGAAAAGAGAAATAAATTCACATATTCTGCGTAGTGTTTGCATCAGGGACGCCAGTAGTGGTCCAGACTGGTACAAATATTTCCTCTGTGGCGTGAAAGGAGCTCTTGAAGTGATCCCAGAGGAATGCGTACCTTCGGGAATTTTGGCTGCAATTTGGGGTAACATTCCTCCTAATTCTGGTCTCTCGAGTTCTAGCGCGCTAGTTTCTGCCGCTGTTCTTTTGACTGCACACATCAGTCAGGTAAGTACTCCTTTTAGCTATCCAAATTTCTGTGTGATATTTCTGTACATTTGCAAATTACAATCGAATTACTTCATTGATTTAAACGAGTATCATTAAATGTTAAATATTTTGATCAAAAATATAGGCTGTGGTATGGCATGACCCATTTATCAGAACGAAATGAAATTTGGAGGGGGTAGAGAAGAGAAGGAAAGGACTTCGAATATAAAATTTTAGCACGTTTTTATTGATTTTTGAGATATTGATAAAAAAACTTTGGATGTGTAATACATTGTTTGAATTTTTGCATTTTGAAGTAGAGATTAGAAATCGCTTTTTATGAAAATTTTATTTTAATAGTAATTGCACATTAAGAGATAACTCTTGTTTGAAATTTATATATAGAGAAGAGAAATCATTATAATCTATATTTCGCATCCTAAAATGTAAAAAATCTAAAAAGAAACAGAAATCTAATTTGTGCCAAAAAAATGCTATATTAACAAATTCTTTTATTTTAAAATACTTTCGTTAAAAAGGTACAAAACAAATGAGCCATAAAAATATTTCGTATAGTACAGGAGAAAAAACGATCTATGCTTCAAAGCCGAGTATCTCAATTAGTAAAGCTTCGTGATTTAACAGACTGCACGGACTATCTATGTCACGTTCCGAATGCAGCCGTTCCGTTGTGATTAAATCACGTATACACGCACGCAAATGTTATCTCGACGCATTGTCACTGCAGCAGTTTTCCTTATGAAGATAATGGAAAAAGAGAAGATCTCGAACCACCTTTGCACCAGCGATAAGCAAAATCTCATTGTTCTTTTCCCTCGTCGCCACGATGAAGCACCATTCCTTTCTCTTGCTCTTTCTTTCTCTGCCTCTGCCTCCTTTTCTTTATGTCGTGGGGCCTGCAAGATCGATGAGAAAAGTTCTCCGCATCCTAATGTCTCCCTCTCTCTTAGCGGGCCTTCGAGATTATACGTCGAGTGTATCTAAATGGAATGTCTCAAGAATGTCTCATACTTTTCTGTCCATTACCCGCGGTTCCGCTGACGCATAACGTACTTCCGCTTTACATATGACCAACGGAATTCTACGTCACGAAATCGATTCCCTAATATTATCATACGTGGACAATATTGCGAATAGCGGCCGCGTCGGTGGATATTGCGAATTTGATCAACAAAATGAATTACTAGTTCTACGCTGCCAATAACAGAATCCGAATACAATTTGATTTCCGTCGAAGGGGAACCAATTCCTTTTGGTTTCTCTTATCATCTCTGTTTTTCGCTACATCGATCGCACGTTTGCGAAAAGAGACTACTCGTTGGCCGAAAAGTTTATCCAACGTCGCAATTGTTCCAAATTGTTTCGTTCGCCAGAGAGAAAGGTTCTTCCTTTGATTCGATCCTTTCCTTATTTCGAATGTCGATTATCGAGGCGATGAGAATTCTGACAAAACTAAACACCACTAGATCTCATAGTTACTTCGTTTTCTGGTTTATCTGTTATCCTGACATTTCGTGATTCATGGAACTTGTCTTAAAGTTGAAACAAATTTAATTAGCGATCCGTCGCTGCGCAAGTGTGACCAGCAAGAATAGGACAAGTTTGCTTTTCCAGTTGAAACAGTCATGGAATGCTTCGTCGTTCTCGCAGTTAGCAAATTCACTTAAAGGATATTTCCAAAGTTTGGGGATATTTGCTTTCATGTTCTTCTGTGTAACAGTTGTGAATTAAAAACAAACACTACGATAAGGGAAACGTCCGAAAAGGGAAGTACCGCTCAAACTTTGTTGAGTATCAAAACAAGAAATTCGTTTCTGTTGTAGCACCAATTGTCAAAACGTAGATTAGCTACCATCAGCGCTAGCGCCGAGAGATATATCGGCACTCAGGGTGGTGGAATGGATCAAGCGATCGTGTTCCTTGGCAAAGCAGGTAATTGTTTCTTCATTTTCCAAAACAGTTGATAGTTTGATGGTTATTATATAACTTACGGGTACGAATATGTTTATGTTAATACTTGTTAATACCCGCAAAGGTTCTGCAATGCTAATCGAATTCAACCCCTTGCGTGGTACCGACGTCACGTTACCGGAAACCGCAGTGTTCGTAATAGCGCAAAGCCTGGCTTATCACAATAAAGCTTCCACCACGGATTATAATTTAAGAGTTGCGGAATGTCGATTAGCTGCGCAGGTAACACGCTACTTTTTCTACGTGCTATCCTGTATTAATTATCCTGTAAGGTACTTACTTATCGTTAAAAGTAACTAATTTATTCATTGGTATTAATTTAATAATATACAAATTTATTAATTTATTTATTGATTTTATTGATTAACAAACAGAGTCGGTTAAATTACCATGAATCGAATGCTATGAAAATTATCATTATTAATACAAACTAAAATAATTAAATTAACATGAAATAAAATAATTAACACGGCGATAATACAGATGATTACAGAGAAATTGAAGAGGCGTTAGAAAACGTGTTCACTTGATTCATTTATGGGAACGACATTGATGAACACTCAAAGATTCGTTCAAATGTAACTCCAGATTAATTTTGTTTCGATAAGATTTTATTATTTGTTCAACACTCGACTTTAATCGATATGCTACTTTAGATAAATTACTTTTATATAATAATGTCAAAATACTTTTTTGTACATATATTTTCATGTCAGTTCTGTAATTAATGTCTCCAAAAGAAAAGAATGATTTTTTTACATTTGCTAATATTTTTGCGCGAAAACTTTAAAGAAATTTAAATTTTTTTCTAAACGAAAGTAATACATTTTTAGATGATAGCAAGAAAAAGAAATAAAGCTTGGGAACGCGTACAAAGATTAATCGACGTTCAAGAAAGCCTCGGTGTGACTGTAGACGAAATGGTTTCTGTTGTAATAACAGACCTTCACGAAGAGCCATATACTTTAAACGAGGTATGCAGTTGACGTAACGATCATATCAAAATTGTCGATAATGATCATATCAAAATTGTTTTAAACGTTAAGACAGCGTTATTGCCGTTGAAAAAAATATTGCAGAGATAAGATATCGTATCAATTGCTTCTTGTTTTTTAAATTTTAATAATGGTTCGAGTAAATATATTCATCGACTTTTTACTTCAATATCGACAGCCTTGCACGTTTTTTTTTTTTTTTCTAGATTAGCAAAACTCTTGACACGACGAACGAGAAACTTCGAGAAATATCGTTACTGCAGTCCTTTAGCGACGCGCAAACTTTCAAGCTGAGGCAACGCGCCCTCCATGTATATCAAGGTATATCAAAATTATTGCATGCTGATCAGAATCTGTAAAATATTTTTCGTTTTCACTCCCTGGTAAAACTCATTTTGAGAAGATCCTAGAAGAATTTTCCCATGTAAACAAGGTAAACAACGTCTTACGTCGCTATTATTTTCCTCGGAAAAATTCTCACTTGACTTCAATCGCATCTTCAGCAGAATAATTCATACATGCAAATGCTATCGTTATTTACCAAAGAAACAATTTAACACTGTGCAGAAATGCTGAAAGAATTTCAAATACTAGATTTCGTAAGAATTCAGCAGAAAATTCAACCGTTATCTCTTGCAAAGAAACAAACTACTAAAAAAATCAAGCTACTTGTGTTTATCGAGAAATCAAAGATTTTTAGGCTGCTTCCTTGAAAGGAAACAGCATCACGTATTCAACACTCGCATGCATTCCTTTGTAAAGCGATAAATTTCCGCAAGGTCAGTTTATCGATTGTGATACCACCATTTATTCGCAATTAGCTGCGTTTGGTTCAAGCCACAGAAATTATTAATTTGAAAACGTAACGGAAACCGTGTTCAGCATCCATTATTTTGCTCTCACGATCACTTTAAACCTCGCGACAAATTTCTTTTTGAATATCAATAAATAAATCGTTAAATCCGGCTTTTAATTGAATTCTGCGAAATTTCTACTGAAACTAGTTCCACTACGTCGTTACTTTCGTATAAATAATAGCGATGCTTTTTACCGAGCTACTTGAAACAATTGAACTATATACGTTCGCCGCAAATATAGAAGCAGTACCAGTACGAGCTGTACACACATGTACTCTCAATTATGAATGCACACGTACAGTTTAACGTCCACACGTATACATTGTTGGCACGATTATTACACCCTTTTACTGCAATATAACCGAAAATTGCCAGGCTCGATTTGACATGTGACGCTTTTATGAATTTTATAAAGAACGTAACAAACGCGATTGAAATATCGACCCATGGCAATTAGCTGCGTCGTATAAGCATCCAGGATCGATATATCGGCCGGCTAGCAGTTAAATTTCAGTCTATCCATTAATACGAAATTATATTTCATACGCATTTTAGAAGCAGCCAGAGTGGTCAAGTTCTGTCGTATCAGCGAAGAGACCGCCATTACGGAAGATGAAAAATTACGGCAGCTCGGCAACCTGATGTCCAACAGTCATATTAGCCTTAGCAAACTGTACGAGTGCAGCCATCCCAATGTTGACTGGCTGGTTGACAAAGCTATGGCGTGTGGCGCACTTGGAGCAAGACTCACGGGAGCTGGGTAAGTGGAATTTTGTACTCGAGTAACAGTTGCGTCACGTGCCAGTTAATTAAACTTTAACGTATAGAGTGGTAAATGCTATACATTTTGTACGCGTGGCGTTTGAATTGAACGATCAAAGGGAACGAAACCGAGAAGATACATCAACGTTACATGTTCAATTTATGAACTAGGAATCGAGTTACGTACATCTAAATGAATATATTTTATAACTTGGACATGAAATTTTCATCGAAACTTCATGTTCTCTACAATGATTTTGAGATTCTTTTATTTAGCACTAATTGCTTCTACTCCTTTGATTTTGTTCAACCGACTAACATTCACGAAAAGATTGTGGATGTTAGTCGGTTACCTTAGAACTCTGCCAATTACGATTTTCCTCTGCAGTCTTCATTTTTCCCAATGAAAATGAAAATATAATCAAATATTTAAGAGAAGACAAATTCAAAAACCTGAACGAAAGAATGGTGTCGTTTTACGAAGGAAGTGCGATGAATTTCTTTATGTAGAATAGAGTATTTAAATAACTTTGAAAATATATTACGCTTTTATCCATTATAAAAAAGAAGTTCTCTTCTGTGTGCATTTTACATGAAACATCTTTTTTAATATCTTATCCTTATAAAAAAAAAGGATATAAACTTTTGATGAAAATATAAACTTACTGTATTGAATGTATACTTCGATAAAAAAAAAAAGAAGATCGATCTATGGGTGTGTTTACCAGCATAGAGTATATCCAAGAAATTATTTTTATTACACCATAACACGCAATCTATGCGCTTGTAAGCACTTCAATATCGCTAACTATATTTTAGACTACCTACAAAATCATTGATTGTCAAAAACGTGGCATCTCTTGATTTGATTTCGTCGATACGAACTTCATCACATATATTATAAAATACAGGGTAAAATTAATAAAATGACACGGTCTAATAATTTTATTCTATATAGGTGGGGCGGTTGCATAGTGGCTATCGTAACGAAAGACAAGGTTTGGCAATTTGTGGATACACTGAAAATAGAGATTGTTCATTCTGGAATAAAAGACAGATTCCAGTTCGGCGATCTGGTCTTCCCAATGAAACCGAACCAGGGAGCTGCAATTTATATGACCTAGTTTTGCATTTGTATGTAAACCCACTTTCATTTTGCATTTTGTAAATCATCGACCAATCTATTATTATTACCATTGTCAATAATTACCATTTGTTATGATATCATATCTAATGTGTGACGGTGAACGAGAATTGAATTTTGTCGCACGTTCCTTCTCTTGCCTATTCAAAGTCTGAGAGGAGATTGTAGCTCGATTGAGATTGAGAACTCGGAACGTTTCAGATTGACACAAATGGAATGCGAAAATCGTATTCACTGTCAGGGTAAATTTGTGTCTAATGTAGCGTACGCGAGCAGCTCTTGCTGCTTATATCGATTATAATCTGTGGTGCCTTTATGTTACAGTTAAGGATTTATAAAGAGTTACATGAAATATAAAAACCGATCATTATACAAATGTCTAGCGTGTCTTTAAAAAAATTTCCTTATAAAATGGCATCTTTCCTCTGATCATGAAACCATTCTCTCAATTACTCATGATTAAATGCCGAGGGGATATCTGCTGTCATTCAAAACTGATCTACGATCGGTTACACGAAAGGAATGAAGCAGAAAATTAAGGATTTGGTAGGCTTCCCTCAGAAGCTTCTCCATTTCCAAGGACTGGTCTCGTTGGCCGGGAGATCTAGTAGTCATTAACGATCAACATCGAAACTACGTAGCAAATGGGACGTTTGCCTCAAGCTTTCTAAGACTTTATCAAAGTTGAAGTTGGAGGGATAAAGCGGCAGATAAATGGAATTTGTTCAAGGGAAAATTTCCATTCGACCTAGATTTTTGCCTCAGGACGTTCTTACGTACACCAGTGTTGGAAATGCCATCGTAGATATGGAAATTAGAAAGACAACGGATGTGTACGAAAGTCAGGTGTGACTGATTTCGAATTTGTTCAATTTCCTCCATGGTACATGGTTCATTCTGTCTGACGATATTAAATTTGAAGTCTATCGAGAAATGTTCTTCGTTGAGAGAATACTTCCCGTTCTAGATTGTTTCGTAGAAAACATTTCTCTAGAAAAATAAAGAAGACGTAAGAGTATTTTTCTTCATGAGGTAGATCGACAGTCTAAGATCCGGCATTGATATTGATTTTTTACCTGTCTATACTAATCAATTTGTCTCGATAGGAGAAAATTCTACCCGTTGCAAGAAAACTGGTTTCACGTACCATTGGGATCAGCTGCTACGTCGATTTATTCAGTATGGCGAAAAGAAGACAAAATTCAGTTCATATGTGCTGTAAATTTACATTTTATTTTTAATTTATTTAATTACCTTCGATGCAGTATTATTTAAAATGAATTACTCTGTAATTTTTGATTACATTTCATTTCCGCTTTATCGAATCTTCTTTGTCAGACGTAAACTACGCACGTTATTTCGTAACGAAGCGTGAAATAGTTCGTGAATTTCATACGAAACAATAGTCGTAAAATATTTCAGATAACAAGTCTGAAATTACACGACGTTTTGATAAATACACGTTGGAATAATCCTACAACATATGAAAATCCAGGTTGAATAAATCCAAAGAATTAGAAAGTTGTTTTATTACATGCCCTTTTTTCTTTTTTTTTTTTTTTTAGTTTTATTATCATGCCAAATATCTGAGAAAAGTTGAGCTACGAAATTACAGATGTAAAACTATAATAAAATATATAAACACGTGGCTGTTGAACAAGTTTACGACGTCGGTAGGTACGTATACTATAACTGATAGCATCGGAAATATCTTACGAAGGAGACATTTTTTCTTTAATTATACAACAGTTTTGCTGTAACTTACCTTATGTACACGTGCGCTCGCAATTTACTTCATCCTTTTTTTGAAATAATTATTAGACTTTTCTATGCTTTAATATTCAAAAGAAAAGCTCTTGAGAAAGACTGTGTATAAATTTTGCTGTCGCCCTGGCTAAGTGTGTTTCTAGGTAAAATGTATACCAAGCAAAGTGGAAGGTGTCGTGGTCCACTAAATTGTGTTTCCGGGCGTGAATTTTTATTCCTGTTTCCATTTCGCTGAAAAGCAAAGAACTTTACCGAAAAAAAGAAAGGATTAAAAAGTTATAAAAGAGCAGATATCTTCAGATATCGAGAAGGAAGGATATCGCAGGATTTCTTTGTCCTGAGAATAAATTTTCATTGATTAACACACATCAAGCTTTTGAAAAATTTCATGTTTCGCAGTTTTCTTTAAAACGACGATATCAATTTATTTTTAAAATACTTTTAACAATCTCACGCTTTTAAATTCGTACAACTACATCAAAATTCTTTTCAGTAATGTTAAAAAGTGTGTCCTAATATTAGAAATGGAAAGGGTGACAAATAATCCGATTTATAAATATCATATTCATGCTCCACAAACTCCACGAGGGGTAGGGGGAAGCATTCGTTTATTTATTCCATATAAATGACGTGACAGGATGTTATCCCATCCTGTGGCAGGAAAGGAGAGGGTGAATCTGAAATTTATTCAGACCCTCTCGTATTGACAGACATATGGTAAAAGTATGGGATAACTTTATCCAACAGCATTCGCACACGTGAATCAGGCAAGTGAACAAGCGGAGAAGCTTGTATTTTTGAGAACGCGAAACCATTTCAATTATCATTCCATTTATTATTCCGCTTGCACCGTATCAAATGACGGTTTCACGTAATTGAGATTAATTCGAACGTTTCATTTTGAATATATTCCTGATAAAACTAAAAACCCAATAAACACAAGTAATTACTCAAAGGTATTTTTCTTCTTCAAAATATCGAAACGAAATTCACGCGAGCCTGAAACAGAGATTCGTTCACAAAAATTTCCATTCCACACGTCATCAGATTCTCTACAATGCAGGTGGAAAAGCGAGCTTGCTCCGAGAAGTACTCGGCAAACGAAAGAGCAATATTCATACTAATTTGTGTCTCGCACACGCTCCGCATATTCTAACTCGCAGAATTCACAGAGAGCAGTTACACGCGCGATTATTCTGACGAAAAATTCGCTGCTAATGTGAAATTTAAATAACGGGCGAATTAAATTCGCTAATGCGTGATTTTAATTAATCACGAAGTTAAATCGGGAAAAAGAAAGAAAGGAATGGTTTGGCGTTTAACGGGACGAAACACATGGGGCGTAAAATTAAGCACTTTACTTTTATTCTATTGTATCCTCGCCTGTTTTCGCGCTGCTTCCACCGCGGGAATTTATAGAGCGTTCACGCGTCTATGCGGTGGAGAACACTATTGCCTACGGCGAGATAACTTTCCTTCGTGAGAACGAATTCTCACACTGTGTCAATGTACGCGATATAAATTTCACGAAATAGGTTCTGCTGTCTACAGGTGTCCTGATTTATACAGAGTATCGAAACCCTCCCGTCCCCCGCCCCCTCCTCACTGTGAAGCTCTGTGTTATAATCGCGGAAACGAAAACCCGAGTAACGTTACGAGCATTGTAAACGTCGGACGATCCGGAATATCATTAGTGGCTGTTAGTGACTTTAAAGGGAATCACCGAGCAGGTACGAGCGTCATAATCTGGACATCGCTGGTAAACATGAAAACGTTACGACTCGCGTATAAAACTTTGACGACCCACCGGTCACTAAAACGCGTAATTTGCTATAAAACACGGGGAAATTGTGGATTTTATTACGAAGAGATGTAAAAGTTGTACGATACGTGTATAGAACGATTAATTTTTCAATTCGATGCGCGCGAGGCGGAATGTAGTTGAGCCTCGCGCAAAGTATAAAGAAATTGTATAACGGTCGATCGTTCTCTTCGTCTGTTTCAGCGAAATATCGACCTTCGTAGCGGGTACGTATTTTTCAGAGAACAGATTTGCGAAAAATTTCTCGATAGGCGTACCTAAAAGACCTTCTTTTAAAATTTTAGACCTTGTCCGAGTCAATCGTTTCAATTGACTTTTTCAACTAGGCGACGACCACCGTTCTAAAGTTCAATCTGAAGTCATTGATTCAAAATCAGTGATTTCTGTTTACATCAACAAAAACAAATTCAAAGTACCATTCTACAAACTCAAAGTACCATTGACTATTACTATTATCGGCCGAATACCGTTGAAATTCTAACTACGTATTTAACTTTCCCCATTAACGTTGAATGAATTTCCTCAATGCACGTCCCGCGGGAGTGCGATCCCATTCTCTACGCGAGTATAACCCTGTATATTTCCGCTATGGTAATTCTATATACGTGTCGATTAATACGAAGTATGTTACTCAGCTGGAAAAATATGTACAAACTGACCGAAGACGGAGAGTGCGCATGTGTATACCGGAGTTTTCGCGCCGCGAACATCGTAAAGGCCGACAGTCAGAATCGAACTATCACGCGTCTCGGTCCTCGGTCCGCTCCAACGTCGAACAATGTTTTGGTGCCATTACTCGTCTTTCGTGCGTCTCGCTTTCCCCATATGGCATGAACTGCGCACGATCGTGTAATTGGTATCGGTCAATGTGTCGCAAAGTAGTTCATCGGTCGGAAGTGCGTATAATGTGTGATCGCTCACGCGTCTGAAGCATGGCTATCATGCAATCCTGTTGCTGCTGGCGGTCAGTGAGGAGAGGTAGCTTCGCATGTGCTCTTTACACCGGGGTAAGTGTTACACTCTCGTTCCCTCTGTGTTTTCGTAACATTCGCCCGATAATCTTGCTCGTTGCAAAGTCTTCTGCGCTTTGTCAGGATAATATCTTTCAGAGACAACACATTTGCAAGTTAAATAAACGATGTAGCGAAGGAAAAATATTTTCATTTGAAACGTTACTACGCTGTCGGCTGGAAGAGCCGAAATGTAAATATTTGATCATAAAACAATAGCAATGATAAATGTTGGCGCACGCGATAAAAGCACGTATTTCCTTTTTTTTTTTCCTTTTTCTTTTTTCTTTTCTTTATCAGCGTGTGATGCACGATATTAAGAAAGTATAAACGAATAAGTATAAATACGTATATCGGTGTATCGAAGTGGAAAGAGTTTCGAAGATTTACGCTCTTATCGTGGCAATAAAATATCTTTACCTTCGCAGTAAGGGTTCATTACGACAAATGATATATTTACGAGCGCTTATTACGTACTTGAATTCACAAGCACATTTGATGCAATTTAGTCTACTTCTTACTGTAGCATGTAGCAGGAACTTTTGAAATTGAAAAATTCAACGAAATTCTTTCGTATTTATTTAATATAAAATAATTTAATTATAATTAGGCAAAGGGAAAGAGGCATTCAGTGAATTCCAGGAAAGAAAACGCAGCTTTCGTTTAAAAAGCAAATAAGTAAAAATGGCAAATTCGCAAAATTTTTTATTTCCGCCGTGCAGAAAATGAAATTAAATGTAAATAAAGGAAGAATTGCTGAGACTGATATATGTATTAATTTAAAACAGATACATATATTAATTTAAAACAAAAACGTATAAATGGGTATTGGTAAAACAACCAAAATTTTTGTTGTGCAAGCTTACTAGTTCTTTCCATTCCGATAATATTTGATTTGATTGAAAAAAAAAAACAAAAGGGATATTAGTAACCGGAGTAAAGTATTGTTAACAGAATTAATGTATTTAACTGCTCTAGTAAGTATAAGGAATAAACAAAGTAGTAGGCTACAATGATACTATATTACATGTTTATAAGGATTTACAGAGAAAATCGTAAGTAACGTATAAGCATACGTTTCTCGTATTGTCTAGACGTTAATCGTTCCTTGAATTTTTAGCTCACGTATATTGTACGTACAGTTTAAAAGGATAACCAGCCAATTATAGATCGTATTTAAACTCTTTAATGAAGTAGAAGATGTAAAATTTGCAATTTTGCGAAACTGAGGTAAAACTGGAACTATATTTAAAAGATTAAAAGTTCTTTCACGATTTGCGAGGCGTAACAAAAAAATCAATAACCTTCTACATAAATTTAACTTATGTTAGACCAAAATTTTGAAAATTCATCCGCTATCGTTCATACGTATGAAGCATAATTCAATAAATTACATATTCCATATTACATATTAAATTATTCACTGAATTGTCTTGATGGAAAATGAATATTTCAAGTGATTGAAAATTTTATTAATCATTTTATTAATCTCAAAAGTTCACTGCATATATGTATTAATTATCACTCTTGAGGATATCATGATAATTTATTACGCAAAAAAAGAAAAATAAGTAATGTTTTGTAGGATATTTTAGCTTTCTCGAAAAAGTTTTAAAAATTTATAAATATTTACACGTAAAACACTAGAAACAAAGAAAACTTTTATTTATGACTAGATCCATCATCACGTTAAAGAACTTCACGAATTGAACTTTCCCCTTTACAACGACTCTAAACTTGCTGTATGATTTGTTTTCGTCATTTTATCGAACGACTGAATATTAGGATTGAACGACAAAAATTCAAAAAATCCTGACATTTAACGTTCAGAGTTCAATAAATAGTAGTCAATAAAATATAAAAAAAAATCATACAGCAAGTTTAGATCGTTCTAAAGAAAAAATTTCAATTTTCAATATCACAATAGATTTAGTCATGAAAGAAATTCTTTGATGTTTCTCGAAATGTTTAAATTTTTACAATTTCCCACTCGCCACGTGATGTAAGAATATTTTTGAAGAAAACGAAAACTTAGAAAAATAGAAGCTTTACGATTTTAAAAGTAAATTGTTATATAATTCCAGACCAAGAAAATTGTTTTAATAAATTTTTTTGTAACTTGTAACAATCTAACAATAATTTTTCATCATTATGTGTTCAGTTATACTCTTCACTGTAGATACATAAATCACATTGTGTCGTTTATCATTTTGGTTACATTGACTCGATTAAGTTTACGAAAGCTTTCAAATTTACCTTGCTGTGTGCAAATAATCGATGCATCGAGTTCCTCTAATTATTATAAATTCCGAAACTTCACTGACCAGCGATGCATCTTTCCTGAATTTGTAACTCGATTTTGAAAAAAAAATAATTTTATTAATTCCATTGTTCATACCGCAACGTATCGCACGAACTCGAAATTTCTCTGCAATTATAACTTCGAACGGAGATATGACTTTTCGTCAAGAACCTGTTTCATCGGAACGATATCAAATTGAAGATATCATACATAAACATTTCACACATCTATACGAAACATAACTCGGCAACGGAATTAATTGCATCGAATAATTAATTTGGAATAAAATTAACTTAATGGAATTTCAGAGCCACGTGTTAGTTTCAATATCTTCGATACCGCATTCGCATTATACACGATATGCCTTTCATATCGAATCACTCTAAACACAAATTTTTCGACAAGAAAAAGCACGCGTACGTACGTACTTAAAAAACGAAACTAGTATATTTATATTTCCCGGGCGAGACATATTGATCCCCTGCAACATGGAGGAATCATACAAGATACATATTCATGTTCGGTTACCTCGTGATATAAAACAGAAGAGTCGGCGTGTTTTCTCAATCAGGATATCAAACAGCTGGACTGACTTATATAGAGTAGCGAATAAAACTTTAAATTTGCAAATTTTTTCATGTAGGTTGATTCTCAAAAGAACAGAACTTCGTCTTAGTCGTCATCCTAAGTTCGTTGATCAAATTTCGATGGAATCCACATGAAAAAGTAAATGGAAGATGAGTGACGAACACATGGGTGACTAGAATGGAAAAATGTTTTTTGTTCTTTTTATTTCGTACGATTGAGGGCAAAGTTTTTAAAAAAATCCAATTACCAGGACGTTCGCTGGGACAGGATAATAAAATATAAAAAGTATCTAACGACAAAAAGTCAGAACGACGTTAAAGGTCCGAGAGGGAAAATTGGTAATTTTACATGTAAACGTACGATAATTCCCAGAATAGACGAATTGAACACGAACGACACTCCATCGATTTTAAGATGAAACGGAAGATATCGAACATCGGCAACAAGCTCCGAAATTTCATTTAGACTGGAATTTCTGGAAGCGGGTGGAGCAGCTATATCGACAATATTTGGTGTCTTATAAAGACGTATTCGAATCGTCAGGATTGCGACGAAATACCAGGGAAAAAAAGCACCTTTCAACCTTTTATTACTCGACATTCTTCTCATTATGGAGTTGATGCCTCGAACGAGAAGATGTGAGAAAGAGATTCGAAATTGGGCGTTGAAGAAACTCAACAACCGATATTGCGCAAATTAAGTTAATTATATAACTATAAAATAATTCATCTCGATTAAGCCAAACTTGTACGCGTTAAGTAATTGTGACGAAGAAATTACGCGTTCTCTTTATCATTTTGTTGATCAATTCTGGAGTTGCGAAAAAAGAGGTAAATGAAAAATTTTCCACGGAGAAGAAAATCTTTCGACAAATTGTAACCGACAAGCAATAAACGTACGTTGTAAGTTAAAATCTATTTTTAAAAACGCCTCCGAGCGTTCTTTTACGTCGTTGGTAGAAGAACGAACATTCCTTCAATTAAGAATTTTAGTAAAAGTTAGATAGAATAATTAACTCAAGCCAAAAAACTTTACTTTTAAAAAATATAGATGTACCTTTAGAAAAGTTAGAATAGATGTACCTTTAGAAACCTCGGTTCAAAATAACTACGATCCATTTGTGACTTCGATCCATTTCCCACAGACATTTCCATCTAAAAAATAGGTATCTTCTCAGAAATCACGGATTCATCTGCTCTAATGTATACTAACCAATTTTCCTGGAACGTTTTTGGAACAAAGTTGGATCATACATTATGAGAATCTTAATATCCGCCTCAAATATTATTCCAGAGAATTTCATATTGCACGAAGCGTGATCCGACTAGGAACAAAAGAGAAAACTTTAAATATAATCTTGGGTATTATTCACGAGCACAACGGAATAGTACGAAATCGTACATCGCTCGCGGTATGAATACTTTAAAAGACGTGGAAAATTTTGATGCCCCTTTAATTATAAACTGCATCAAACCCGATAATACCGAAAGAGGATTAAAATATCGAATATCAGAGTGATCAGAGTGGGTGAACGCTTTCAAACATATAAACTCCATAACGATATAACTGAAACATCAACGCAGAAAATTCCATGATCCCCGTTTTAACTCATTCGACAATCGCTCAATAATGGCATCCGCGATTAATATTAATTTGCTGCGTTTGTAAAGTGATCGAAAATACATTTAATTGATTGAGATAAAAATTAAATAGGATCAGAGACGAGGGACGTGAGATTTCGTCGATCCACAGAGAATGTTCTTTCTTTTTCTTTTGGATCTGGGAATTTCAAATCAAAGTTCGAAATTTATACTGGATCTAATAAGTAATAATGTAATCCGAAAAATGTCAGAGTCAATTTTCTCGGAAGATATCCACTTATCTATGGACAGAAAGTTTCTCTGCGTTCGCATCGTTGGGCAAAATGTCTATACATATCTCTGTCTCTCGGAAATATTTGACGAAAAAGAGAATAAGAAGAAACAGGAAAGCAGACTATTTCCACAGAAATAAATGCAATACGACAAGTGAAGAGTATAACCGTACCATTAACGAAAAATTGTCGATACTTTAAATTGTGATAATTTTGTAAAAAAAAAAAAAAAGGAAAAGAATCATATAACAATTAAAAATGTAAAGCCTCTACTTTGACAATCGTGAGTTCATTCTCTTCAAAGATGTTCTTACATCGTGTGAGCGGATGAGAAAGATATTTATTCTCGAAAATTGTATAAATTCAAACGTTTCTAAAGACATTGAACAATTTTATCTCATGATTGGACTCATTGTCGATACAGTTTTAGAAGATTGAAATTTTCTCTTAAAACGTGCTGCACGATTTCTTTTTCATTGTTTTATCGAACTTTGAACGTTCGGGTTAGATGACGAGATCTCTGGGGTTCTTTAAATTTTTGTTATTGTCGTTGTAAAGGAAAAATTTCATTCTTTAAGATCATGGTGGATCTAGTCGCGGAAACAATTTTTCAATATCCACACGCACGTATTTTTGACGATGTTGTAGAAACACGTTTGCAAAAAACGAACTCAGTGGTGCGGAAGTGGGGCTCCACGCTTCACAGTGATTTATCATGCGAGTCTTTCGTTTTTTTTACAAAATTATAACAGTTCGAAGTATTTGCTCTTCGCTGTACTTTCTGATTCCGAATTTCAGAAGCAACTGTTATTGCACAGGTGAGCAGAGGAAAACGAAAATAAAAATATTCAAATTCTCATGGGTATCGTCTATGCTCGACACTCGATATCGTTGGAAGAAACGATGCAAGGAATAGAGCGGCGTGTGTACCATTGCAAACATTCCCCATGGAGTTTCTCTAGTGAAAAAGTCGCATCAGTCGATGCTGAATAGAAAAAGCCAACAAATTCGCCACTCGTCCTTTTCGAATGGGCTATCAGCTCCTTCCTTCTGAATCGCCTTCTTTTTTCCTTGTCCTTTTTTTTACACCAGCCTCGCTCTCCGTTTCCTCCTAAACGACGTATAGGGGATAGGCTTCAATTTCGATGGCTTGTTGAATTCGATGAGAGATGAGCGATTTCATAGTTAATGCCTTGATCGCAGTTTATTTCACGTGAACAAGAAGATATCGTAGAAACGGTGGTTTCTATCTGCGCTTTTAATAATACCGCGCGGCGGCGTGTTATTTCGAAACGGAATAGAACGAAAAATATTTTTGATAAAAAATTGAAAACATTTATCGCGCGATACAAACATCGGCACCACGTCGTACTTCCTGTTTTATTTGTACGTGGAAATCTTTTTCCTATCTCTTCCCCCCCCGCCCGATTTATCAATCGAAACCTGAGGAATCTAGATCTAGCGAAGCGACACATGAGAATGGAAATACGAACGCAATAATTCATCCTGGTATCAAGATACGAACGAATAACGTTTCATGCCTCTTTAACTCTAAGGATAAACTGCTGAAAAGGTCCGATTTTTATCTTTGGTATCGCGAATGATAATCTCCTTTTCGTCTGTTCTCGCATAACGGGAAAAGAGCAAAGGTCTCGCTGAAGTTTCGTTTGCTTCAATCCTGGTTAATTCTCGACCGCAAATTCCGCTTATCAATTGACGATAATATTCTATGATTCCTATCAAGTTAAATTAAATTATATATTACATTAAGTTTTCCATGTAAAAGAGTTGCTACATTCTGACAAATGGTACGTGTAAGGTAGAATTTCTAGAGATTAGTACCTCTAGATTAAAGTGGAATCTACGTAAGTAGATATGTGTGTGTGTGTGTGTGTGTTTTCGTTTTTCTCGAAATGCACAGCACACGTCTATGCACGAAGTCAAAGAAACGCGGCCAAAGCGTTTTCCTCGTACGTGATTTTACAAAGTTGACGACACGTTGATGACACTTTGGAGCACTTTGAGCGCGTACAAAATGACGAAATTGGTCCAAGGACGGCGTAGTTACCCAACAAGAGACAATAAGAGAAGGGAAGCAATTTCAATAACCTCCAGTCACCCCGGGATCGATCGATCGTTTGTCCAAAGTACCAAGACGAGAGACGCGACGCATCCACCCTTCGAGCAGCACGCCTCTCACCACTTACTCATCCCTTTCAATTAGTTCGTACCTGTTCGCCATGCATTTGTACGCACGCGATCCAACACACGATTCATAACGGGCTTCAAATCGACCGACGAACGATGATAAACGTCGACGTGTGAGCATCGTGGTGAAAGTCGTGCCTTTTGAATGAACGCGAGCATCGATGTCGAATAATAGTGTCTCATAAATATTGATCGATGGTTGGACTTTTATCACACTTTAAATGCCGTAGTAGATATTAACCGTTTCGGTTCGGGGGAAGGGGAAGAGATAAAACATTTTTCTTCCAATCTTTTCGATCAAATGAAAGAAATATGAAATGTAAAACAGCAAAGGAGTTTTAAAAATATCTCATTTAGTTCAAAATGTTAGAAACATTACAAAACAGACAAATCGTTGTTAATAATTTTTTCAATGGTTTTTCATTTCTCACTAGAATAAAGTCTAACTACCTAAGTGTAACTTAGTCACACGTGACAGAGTCACACGAATATAAAGACAATTTTAGAAAAAAAAATAAATCGGGTATAAAGTTTTCAAATTAGACGGCCCAGGAGTTTCTGGATCTATCCCCGGATCAAAGGGGTTAAGTCGTTGCGAAACTTCTTCCGCATGTTGTTTTGGTATAAACTAACTATAGCGAACTCATCGATTTTACAAGAAGTAAAGTTCGCGCTCTCATCTTCGAAGAGATTTACTAAATTCTATTAAAGAACTACGTGCATTTATGAACGTGCATTTAGGAAAAGGATCAGTTTGGAGATTGAAAATTGAAACAGTAAAGTCTAAGATCAATCTTATTAAGTAAACTTCCACTTGTGTTTATGTTATTAATGTGCCATTAATATACTCGATACTGTACTTAATATATTATAATATAAGATAAATCAAGCGGAATATGCTAAGGTAAGGTCTCGAAATCATAAAATTATGAATAATTCATTTTGCGTCGCGAAGAGACTCGTTAATCCTTCTTTTGAAGAGACGCAAAGTTGAGACCTTCAATTTCCGCACAATACCTTGTTCCTTGTGGGAAGAGATTCGAGTGTAACAAGTAAAGAAATAAAAGTGGATCAATCGAAAAGGATCCGATTGCGATTCGACTAAAGTGGATGGACCAAAGGGAAGAGCAATTCTCAGACTTGCTCTCATTCCTGTGAAGAATTGCAAACTTAACTTCCGATTAGAATGTATTATAATTACACTCGTGATACTTTCTGGAAAATTCATTTCAATTAAATCCACCAAACTTCACTTTATTGTACCACGCAAGAGTTTCAACGGTTTTAGGCTAACTGATGGAAGTCAAAGATAAACCTCGGTTCGATATCTGGTCATTAGAAACAAGACACGGTTTTATCAAACTTTTATTGCGATAAAATACAATATTTTAATATCGCATAACTCAGGCGGCAAGGTCAATCATGAACGCAGGTAGAACATTGCTCGTGTAAAGGTATATAGTATCGCTTATTAAAAATAAGAGGATTAAATACTCAATAACCTAATGCTATCCTAACTATCCTAAACATACAGATATATGTTTTTAAATATTCTCCATTTTCAATATTCAATCAGCGCTTCGGTATTTCTAAGAAATGTTATGCCACGTTGTTTCAACGAAACTGTGCTTTTCTCGATGAAACTCGTAACCAGGAATTCATGACGAACGGGATCCGGCCATTACGTATTTGTTTTGTTTCAGATTTACTTTATCCTATTGGCTCTAACCACGGGTAAAGTGCTCCAGGGGGAGAGTCAATATCTGCGAGGGAATCGCTCGCTACCAGAATCCACTAGTTTCCTAGAACCGGACACCATATCCCCAAGTGAGTGTATTCGACTGTAATAACAATGTCCGCGGTAGAGACGTATCCGGGAAAAGAATTCTTGAATTCTGTACAAGTCACTAACCGGTTCGGTATCAACCGAATTCCAACCAAGCGTAATTACACGAAATCATACACGAGGCGCAAAACTAAAGACAATAAGATCTCACGTTCAACATGCTTCTCTGTTGCTTCAGCGACGGTACGATTTAACGTGACGCTGCTTGTATGCTCGTGTTGCGGTCTGATTTGCTGCATCCTGCTTCTCTATGGTCTCTGCAAGGTAAGACGCTCCAAACATAAGCGTTTCATAAACAATCACGCCGCTCGTTTCCTTCCGTAACGTGTTGTTATTCTGTAAATATATGCACTTTGCCGACTGGAAATTTGACGAGCTTTTTTTTTTTTTTTTTTTCGTTCGGAGATCTGCGCTTAAGTTGCGGACAAACGAGTTTCAAAGCTCTCGCTGTTTAAAGTTTTTTTCTTTTTTTTTTTTTGACGACCGATATTGTCGGATTTTCCGACGCATGCCACGTGCTTTTGAATCAGACAGGCTTAAAATTTCCTGTCAAACCACGGTTAAGTTTAAGTGGGAAACTTGGCTCGAAGCCTTCAGATACCGTTAACGGCGAAGCACTTTTCAAAAAGTAGGATTAAGTAATAGGACAATTTTATTCAGAATAACACACACATCTTTTTATAAAAAGATGAAAAGTAAAATATACGCAATATATTTATAATATATAATATAAATGATATGTATTTATAATATATAAATATTATTTATATAATATTAATTATAATTTATAATATATAATATAGATATATTTTATTTATAATTTAACGTTATATTTATTTATTTAATTATAATTTATTAAATTATTATATTAATACAATTAATTTATAATTTAACGATATATTTATTTATAATATAACGTTATTTATAATAACGAAGTTACCAAACTTCTATTATGGTCCTTGATTGTGGCATTGTACCTCAAACAAAGGAAATTGTTATTGAGATCCGGATGTGTTTCTTGGGTGGTCAGCGGTTGAAGCAAATTAGCATCGCAAACGGCAGTAGTATAGGCCAGTGGTCAGACAACATTTCGGTATATTGGGTACCCATAGAGAATCTTGCTTTATCAAAGTCGATGAATACCATTCCGTTCACTGTATCGCATACCACTTGAATGTAATACAAATTTTCTTACAATCTGCTCTGAAATATCCTGTTTACCAAAGAATGAAAACAGGATCACTAAATAACCAGTAAATACTTTTTACCAGCTTCCCCAGCATGGTTTTCCATGTAGGGGATTTTTATAAAATCGATGCATATCCTGTGATATGAAAATGACATTTTGTTTTAAATAAATTTCTTAATTAGAGTTCACCAGTATTTTATTCGCCTAATTCTCTATAGGGAATGCACAGGGCGTTTCCGGTATAACCGGAAAGGAGATGATTCTAATGAGAAAGAATAAAATTTTATCATTTAAAGCTTCTTTTTTGAAGAAAATTTACTAAACAGGTATACTTAAATTTGACTAATTTTAAACTAGACAGGATTGAGTAATAATAGATGGATTATTCTACCTGCGAAAATAAGTGAAAATTATAGAACAGAATTTTCAAAAAAAAAGCAGACTCTAAACTTGTTTAAAGGGTTAAAAATTGGCTCAGTAGGTGTGTGCTTGAAATCGAATTTTCTCGAAAACGAATGATATTCTGGAAAAATTATATTCAACAACTTTTGATTTATTTTCGCAACTGGAATTACTTTCTGTTTCTATTTCTGACTAGTTCGGAATTAGCTAAATTTAAATATTCAAACTTGATTTTCTCCGAGCTTTAAATGAAAAAAAGTTTTATTCTTTTCACTTATTTTCTTTTTTTCTTTTTTTTTATTATAGAATTACTTCCTTTCACCACCAGATCGGAAACACTCTGTATATGTATATCTTGCGCGTACACCAACATTAACAGCAAAGTGCAAGGAAGCCTTGAATCTTGCGCAACGGTGTTCGTTATAAATCGTGATATTCGTTCCCGTGGCACGTGGTTCTCACGCGAAATGGAAGTTATTAGTGGAGAGATGAAATTAACTCAGTGTTGAGAAAGTAGCGTTGACGACGATTGTTGTACTTAAACATCGAAAGAGGATGGATTGACATCCGTTCCTCTTGTTTCAGATTACATTTAGATGGAATAGCAGATGAAATTCAAATTAATTTCAGATTAACTTCAGATCAAGGCTGCAGATTTAATACATTGATCAAAGATTTCGTTTTTCGTAACAGTCTATTCTTTTGACCTTCTTTTTTCAATTTATTTAAGAAAATTTAAATTTATTACTTATTTTTTACTATAAAAAAATAAACAAGAAAAGAAAGTCCAAGTCACAATGCGCTCACTGTGTGTAATTGAATTTGTCTTATCCTACAATCGTCTCATCGCCTTCCTATCAGTCTTCCCGTTAGTTCATCTCGAGTGACGGATAAATCCTTTCTTCGGGGCAGAACGATGCAATTTTTATCACCGTTCCAGGAGAAGCGATAACACGGTGGAGAAAAATTGCGGCGAATCAAAAATGAAATTCTAGTCTGCCGAATCGCGAATTAACTCCCACCCTCGAAATTCGTTTCTATTTCCGTTATTTTATGTACTTCGTACACGCTCATATGCAGTCCCATGCTCTCGTATCTAATTAAAAATGTGTCGCGTATGAAAAATAATAACACGTAACGACGTAACGTGAGAATTGCGGCTACAGAGAGCCGAATAATGCCGTTGTCACCTGTACAAAACATCATTTACGAGGGAGAAAAACAAAGAACGAATTATCTAATTGAAATGTATAATTTATTTCGAAGATTTCATTCGTGATACCAACCCATCAAATCTGTAAAAGAAAGAAGAAAGGACAGAACTATACACTTGACGTCGTATATAGTCGACGAGGGTACGGGAGATTTATGAGACAAGACAGCAACCCTCGGCAATATACATTGTCCAACCACGAAATTCCTTTTGCCCCGCGATCGAATTGAATTTTTCGTTGCCTATTTATTGAAACAAAGTATTTCGTGCAAAATCGCACCTTTCCTTTATATAGATACCTCGTACAAACACTTTTTTTTGGTATGATTAAACACTTTTTTTTAGTATTTTTCGCTAATTATTCACGATGCAAACAGCTCGCTACTCTGTTAATTAATAGCTTAATAACCGATCACAGACGAGAAGCGTTGTATCTTAAATAACGAGTACTATCAAAGTCTCTTCTCGCATCTAGCACCTGATGGCGTTTTAATAATTTATCGCAGAAACAGCATCTTACTCTCTCTCTCTTTCATATCTTTAATCATCTCATCATGTCCCGTCAAATCTCAATCTTAAAATACTTTCTCTGAAATCAAGTTTCACGTGAAACGAAGTACGATATTTAATTACACCTTCGTGCTGAGATTTAGACTTTTCTTTTTTTTTTTTAAGAACTTTTATCAAGCCTGCAAGCGATCCATATCTCGGAAAATGCGTCGAGCAGAACAGAGAGGAAGCAGATTATTTGACGAACGTACTTTCGAAGGGTTTTTCGCGCGGATCGGTTATTTTGTTGCCGCATCATTGCGTACCAAACTAGGAAATCAATTCACGATACGGATCGACACGGCAAGTGATTTGCAGAGTAGCGATGAAATGCTTCTGTTAACTCCAGAGAGAGAGAGAGAGAGAGAGAGAGAGAGAGAGAGAGGAAGAGAGAGACTAACTTTTCAAAGTGGATTCCCTCCGATCCATGATACGTTAACGCAATTAAGCTCGGCGAGTTAATCTCGATGTTGCCTCTCGATAGCTCATCCATCAGTTGGAACCGTATGCAACCGTATTCAACGCGTCTTTGAACGTGGAAAAAAAAGAACATCCGTAAATCTGAATAGGAATATCAATTTTCTTCACGGCGCTGATTTATCGTCCCTTTTTGCGTGCAATCGACACGGCCATCACTCACGTTGCGAACAGCTCCCTTACGTAAAACACAGGCGCATCGAGTGATCGTTCCAAGTGTATTCTCGTTCGTTTGCACGTTCTCCGAGAACGATACAGGAAGAGGCCCTGTTTTCTCGCTTTAGGTATTCTTCCTTAAGAAAAATTTCAAGAGTTTCTGCTAAAGATATTTTTCTGCGAAATTTCGCGCTTCAAAACTATGCCCTCTGAATCGAGTTCACGTACAAAATTGATAGTTTGAAACGTGCTTTTTACTTATCTAGAAGTAAAATAATTCGTTTTCGTAATTCTCGTAGGTAGATTCAATCTTCACGAAGGAAGTGAATTAGTATAGTGTGTACAGTGGGGTGCAACATTGAGTCAATAACAAACATTTTTGAGAAAAATATTTTTCATTGTTAAATAAAGTATAAAAACATGAAAATAAACTTGACTGTCTGATTCTTTATAGTTTTAGGAAACTGAAGCTATTTTTTTAACTTTTAAGATTAGGTTTCTTCCTGGCTGAAGAAATTAAAAAACGTAGAATCAATTTTGCACCAAAATTTTCTCATAGTCAGATTTACAAGCTTTATCATACCTTAATATTTTGTCCATAAGCCATTTGCTTAGATAATAGCTCTAATACGTCTTGGCACACTTTCAAACAGTCTTGAGCAGAAATCAGGTGGCATTTGATTCCACTGTTCTATAACACGAGCATGTAGTTCCACTACTGAGCTAGGAGGAGATTTGTATGCGTCTAGAATTTTTTTTTTTTCAATATACCCCATAAATTCTCGATGAGGTTTAGGTTGGAGCTTCGTGCAGGCCAATCTAAGATCGGAAATACCTGAGTAGTCAGCTAATTAGTTACGCTTTTCGCTGTATGTTTCGGGTCCGGATCATGTTGAAAAACGATTTCTTCTACAGCGAAGAGCATATCTTGCATACAATTTGGCAAATGTTCTTTTAAAATGTCTTTATACATGTATTGATTCATAATCTCTTCAATTTTGTGCAATGGGTCAACACCATCTCCCGTTATACACCCCTACAACATATGTATGCATATGCGTATATACGTGTATTCAGGAGGAAACCTAATCTTAAAAGTTAACAAATAGCTTCAGTTTCCTAAAACTATAAAGAATCAGATAGTCAAGTTTATTTTCATGTTTTTATACTTTATTTAACAATAAAAAATATTTTTTTAAAAAATTTTTGTTATTGACTCAATTTTGCACCCCACTGCATATCTAACGTGGTTCTTGCTGGTCACTGCGACTAACTTTCCAGTTATTCCGACCATGGTTGAAATATTAATTGATGTTTGCCTTATCATCGTCGAGCAAAGTTCCTGACAGATTCAAATCCCCGGCTAAATTCGGTTGCTAAATTTACCAAGTTCCGCCCCGGTGTTTCTTCTTCTTATCGATCTTCTCGTCCGTTAATCACTTTAAGCAAAGCTACCGCGTTTATTTCGCGATAGTAGCCGGCCATGAATAACCGTGGCAATATTTTGCCAAGATCTTCGTATTCAGGCTCTCGCGAGTTCGCCCTCTTTCCTCGTCTACTTGTCACTCCGATAGCCATCATTTTTCAACACGTTTTGTGTCGCAATATGTACCCCAGCACTACGAATTTTCGAACAAATTGTGCGTATCGTGGACGAAATATGCACGTATTCTCTAAAAGCATATTTTTACGGTAAAATATTTGAGTTTTTGACTGTACAAACGTGTTGAAATATAAAGCATTTTCAAAATCTTTTGACATATTCGCGATCGCGCGATGGGCGACCCAGTTTTCCTCTCAGATAGTCACTGAGAACACCGAGAAAAATGATCAAATTATATCATGTTTGTTTCGGTGTGCGCGCGCTGAAAGAAAAATTATGCGCGCGTGTCTCAACATATTTAATTCTTTACCCGAACTACATGTACGTTCCTAAATAAATTTACGAATTTAGCCCTTTCATACAGAATATTCATACGTGCTTAAATATGTCGGCACACGTAACAAAGTTCCAGCGAAGTTCAGTCTGTTTGAATCGCATTACAAAACAGCCTGGTTGTGCGAATGCGATTGAAGATGGGAGAATATTTCATTGTAACTTTATGTAAGCGCGGTGCTGCCTCTCGTGTCGTATTTTTAGAAAAGGAACCGCAAGACTTGCTTCGGAAACGATACTCGATGAACTTTTTTTTCGCAAATCACTCGCAACTTTTATTCCGTTCAATTCTTATTCATCTTTACTAGAATTTCCTTTCTTACGTTTAGAAATAAATTAACATTGGAATTATCAAAGCAGTGAAAATGATGACCAATTTTCTAATTTTTACTCGATATCTCATAGATATAAAATAGTATATTTTTAAAGATCCGAATGATTTTTCGTGAAATGAATAAATAAAAATATTCCATTGTATTATAAAGTTTTTCTATCTTTTTCACTTTTATTAACTACAAAACTAGCCAGCGTTGCCTCGGAAATAATATTCGACAAACTTTTCTTCGCCAATTATTATTTCGTTTAATTCTTATTTATCTTTGCTAGAATTTCTTTTGCCTCAAAGTTGATCCTTGCGTTTAGCGATAAATTAACACTAGAACTACTAAAACGATGAAAATGACCAATTTTTAATTTTTGCTCAATATCTTATAGATATAAAATATATTTTTAAAATGTATTTTTAAAAATCTGCGTGAACAAATAAAGTGTGTGTATTCCATTGTCTTTACAAAGTTTTTCCATCTTTTTCATTTTGACGTCTCCGATAGAAATTTCAGTGCTTTAATTGTCGGTGATTCTAGTGTTAAGTAATATCGTTGCAGCATAGTAGAAGATTAAGAAGTAGAATAGAACGTTTATCTTTTACTAAGACTTGGACAAGAGATTTGATATTGCGCCAGTTGGAGCGTAACACGCAAAAGAGCGAAAATGTCTATTTCGTTTCGAGAGTGTTTCACTCTTCTGCGAAACGAAAGGAAATGATTTAGATAGGTGCTCGTTTCAAGGATTTGAAATGTAATTAAGTTCATAAGCGTAACAACGGTGAATTATTACACCCCTGTGCATAATCGCGCCGTTTCTTTAGTCTAGCGTAACAACTCGCGGCGATTCCGAGTGGAAACGAGACAATTGTTCTCCCACTGCAGAGAAAGAGAAACTTTCCGCTCTTCTTCCCCGTCGAGAGCTCGTCTGAACTCTTAAATCGCCGAGTAGACTTTACTTGGACAGTGTTTCTCGTTTTACCCCCGGCGGAATGCAACGAGCCGGATCGAATGTTTCCAAAGGACGTAGACTAAACAAGAGAGAGAGAGAGAGAGAGAGAGAGAGAGAGAGAGATATTGAAGCCAAGAAAAAGGAGCTATGAAACCACCCTTGATCTCGAAACCAGCCTCATCTCTTACTCACTTGCGATCGATTAATTTCAGGATCGGCGTGTCTTTCTCATACCCTGGATTATCGTTATCGTCACGACCTGTGTTATCGATATGGCGCATTCCTTCTACTTGTTCATCACTGCGGTAAGTACAACACTCCCTTTATTTATGCTAAAAGAGTAATATTTACTTATTTCTGTATTTACGTTGTTGTATAAATGGATTCGGTGGTAAAACTTCCGTATTTTCGTGGCGAATAACTGGCGATGTTTTCTTCCTTTTTTCGTGGGAACAAGCCATATGACTTCTAGCGTGAAGGGGAGAGAACACGTCCGTGATAATTGCGAAACGGTCTCGACCCTTCGATGGGAATACGTCCATAGAGAGGAGCGACATGAACGATGTTCCTTTTACCAAACGGAACGTAAATTTCTCGGAGATGAAAACTGAAAATGTCATTTCAGGAAAGATCGTTCTATTCCGAAGGCTCGGATGAGCATTAGGTTTATAGGACTCGATAACACGCAACTTGCCAATGCGACCCCCTCCCAGGAGCGTTCGATTATGAATTCTTTGACCCAGTTGCGAAAGCTTCGTTTTTAAGTTGACGCTTTTAACTTACGCCCCTCGGCGTAATGAGACCTTCTTTCAACATTGGAACGTTGAATATGTTAAGAGCGTCCCTCTCGTTCGGAGGAAAAACTTCGTTCGTGTTATTGGAACAAGAACAATTTTAAACGGAACCCCCAACCCCGCGTTCCAACTCGCATGCACGTCGCGCACGGCTGAGAATCTCGGGCTGTAGCCGGTGGTTTTGTTCAACGAGCGAGTAGAATCGCTCAGCTGTCGCGTGTCATTTTTCCTCGACGAGCTCGGTAACCGAATCGATCGATAAAATCGGGGGGCGAGTTGGAACGTCTCTGGGTCCTCCGCTTCAATCCGCGAAGAAACTTTCGCCTATCTTTGAAATTGTAAGCCCTCGACGGCTTACAACTTTTACGAAACACGCCGCGGCGGTTCGAGCAGACACGCAAGCGAAGGCATTTAATGCCAGCCGGGGATTACGTCGAGTAATTTTTCTCGTACGTCGACACGCAGCCAACGTCCAATCACAGCCGCTTCCGGCCGCAAATTTTTCGTTTCGAGGAATCCTTGGTACGACACAAAGAAGAAAGATGGTGCGCATTTACCTCAATCTAAACTCTCTGTCAAGACCTTCCTCTTTGTTCCTCTTCCGTGTTCGTCGTTTCACAGACACGTTTCCCGCAGCTGCGGCGTTTCCTCTCCAAAAGGGTTGAACTGTTCTTCAACCGTGTAATTCGAAAGCGCCGGGTACTTTCGTTCCGTGATTTTCACGTATTTAGAGCGACTTATTGTTCAGTCGCGTGTCCATTCCGTTTCGACGTCCTCAAAGAGACTGCTTTCCGTCCTCGTGTTTGTAACGTCTGCGCGAGAAGAAGCTCGCGTATGCACTTTTACGCTCGGAAGCTTTCAAGATTCACCGGTAATTATCTAGAGGACTTCTCGTCTCGAGTTCATTGGCCTTAAAAGCCACGTCGAATATTTGGATTTCTCGAGAAGAATCGAATGTGATTTCTTTAAACAGATACCTTTGTTCTTTTTTTTTGTTAGCCTAAAACGCGTGCAGTAAATAAAAGTCATTAATTTGACGGTGTTAGAGCGGGAATTTTGTCAAACTAAATTAACCAGTCGAGATGGCTGTCTGTCGCGATCTTCGAAAACCTAAATCGATCCATTGCCAGTCACCGTTGTTAATTAAAAACGATTATATTTACATTTTTAAAAATTAAATTGATACGTATCGGACAGTAACATAATGCCGTAATTGACTTATACAATATCTTACTCTATCGAGAATTCCTCGAGAGTCCTCTAGCCACTTATAAGCAATCAATTTTTGATTAGATCGCGTTATATCACTTGGTGTATACAACGGACATCTAAATATCATCCTGAATCCGTTCGTTTCGCGACGAAATCAATGGACAAAGTAATTGACGTTGAAACAACGACGAGTACGTGAGCTAAGTTAGAAGCAAATAAGGTTAATAATAAACACTGTTACCCATAAATCCGAGTTTCTGCATCGGAATGGTTCCCATGTCGCGCTTTTCGAAAGAGAACGAGCGAGCAATGGTAGAGCAGGCTCGGGACGTGTCGTATCGTAAAAGCGCAGAAATGCGTGAACAACAGCGCGAAATGGATAAATACGCAACGACACGAGGATGTAAAAAGTGCAGACATTTAAACGATGATACGCGAGAGAAAAATATAATACGCGACCGGAATATCACATGCTCAGTATTATTCCTGTGCACCGGCAGGAGCCAGATGTAAAACTTCATTTTGAAATAACAGCGCACCCGACAGCGTTGCGCGCCGGTGTACGCGCAATTTTCATTAACGTCCTTACTGCACGTCGAGCGTACTTTCTCCTGGTAAAACAAGAACAGAGGGAACAGAAGTTTTTTTTTTTTCTTTTTTCATCCCTCTCTTTTCCCTCCCGTGCAAAAACCGAACTATCGTTTCGACAAGGTCGAAAAGCCGGGCGCGTATCTTTTTGCTGGTAAACGTGTGTCTCTCCCGTTGCAATAACCTTTCTCTCGGCCTTACTAGTAACGGTAACTGGAAACGGTAACATCGATGCAACGGGTCGCTTGTAATTACACCAGCTACGATGAACCCCAGCCGCTGCTGCGTTACCATCTTTTAGTTAGTTAGCTAGAGTTAACGAAGCGTTTCGCGACGCTTTGCCTGCGACACAGGGCGAATTCTATCCGCGAGCTTTGTTCGTTTTGTCAATTGAAACGCGTGCATCTTCCTGTTTAAAGTAGAAGGTAATAAATTTAGCAAGTACGCAAGTAGTACAATACTGGAATCTATATATCCTTTCGATTTACGATGGAAAAAATATATTGGTTCAATTAAGAGAAATGAAGACGACCTCGGAAACTTCGAAAAAATGCCCCCAACGCACGCAAAAAATTGACAGGCCATATTTTGCCTCCCTTAAAACACAACTTTTTTGTTAAACAATTTTTCGTTGGACGCAGGTGTGCAAGTTACGTGACTCACCCTGTATATAAGTAAGAAGTTTGACTCGCGCAATTGATTAAATGATGCATTTAATTCAATTGACGGTGAACGTTCGCTCTGATGTTTGAAAAAAAGTTACAAACGGAATACAAATGGAAGTGCAGTACGAAGTAATATTTGATCAATCAGTGAGTTGTATATAAATAAATTTTACAAATTACAAGTTCTTTGATTATCTTATTTGACATGAAACGCCAAGCGCTGCTTAACAGAAAGCTTTTCGATCGAAAACGTCTATCAGAAAGTTTGTTTTCTTTCTGTTATATTGCCTATTTTTATATCGATACAATCTATCCAAACGCGATAAAATTTCTGGTAAGCTAGGGATTATTTCGATTTCTTTCACGTAACGGTCAGCTTATGAAAGCTGTGACGGGACTACAATAGAGGGATCCTTCATCCGAACTTTTATTTTAAGAATATCTTAATATCAAATCGTTATAAAAGTTTCTCCTCACCATCATTTTTGTTTAATAAAACATCAAAGGAGAAGAAAAAAAAGTGATTTTATTAATTTTAAATTGAATTTAAGTTTATTAATTTTTAATTTTTCGCGTACTTTAATCTGTAAAAAAATATATATATACATATAACCAAAAAAATTACTAAAATTTATTTTAGTAGGAAGTAATTTTTGACCCACCCTGTATATTATTGTAATGAAATATCTGTAAGTGATGATTTTCTGATTACTAGCAGATTTCGTTGAGTAATACAACGTTCGAATATTAAGAATATTCGAAAAATAATGATTCGAGTAAAAGAGATTCTACTGTAATTGCTTTAAATTGCTTTTTCCCCCAACTATTCCGATAAACGACTCGAATATATTCGAAAAATATATATGTATATTCGAAAATAAGATTATATATATTAATATTATATACATTCGAAATATATATTTAAGTATATTAAATAGTATACACTAATTATATATATATTCGAAAATAAATATACATTAAATATAAATATATATTATATGTATAATAAATATATATTAAGTATATTAATATTCGAAAATAAATATATTAAGTATAAATATATATTAAGTATATTAAATAATATACACTAATTATATATATATATATTCGAAAATAAAATTATATACTGTTATTCGAAACGAAGAAAAATAGTGTATTTTATCTATGTCAAAGTTTTAAATTCGTGTCCTTTTTATGCAATATGATCCCTTGTTAAAAAGTCAGACAGCGCAGCGTACAAACAACGTTCAATGTAAATTTACTTCTCATGAAAGGCTTTTGTGCTAACTACCGCGTATTCGCCCCAGGAAATCGAATAACATTTTACAGCCGGTCTATAGTCGATGTATAAACTCGATGTGAATAATGGCAAACATCAATCTTTTACTACCTCTCTGTAATTGATTTCAGGAATCGCCACGGTTCCTCGACCATCCGACAGAATCCGCGTTATTATTACAATACATCGTTTAACTTATATTCAACGTGAGCGTAATCGCTCGCGTTAAATATAAAATTCGTCGAATCGATCGATTTCATTTTCGTTCCTCGACTTTGTTTCAGTCCGCCTTTGATCCGACGAAGGTGATGCTGTACACGTTGAATTTCTTTCTCCTCTGCCTGAACGTGAGTACATTTAGATCTGGAGAATCGATTTGTGTGTGGAGTAGCTCAAAGTTTCGAGAAGTTTTCCAACGTTTTCTTTCAAATCGTCCAGTTTCGGGAATTCGTCATTAGCATCGTACAATCTAACGTTTAGATTATGCTTTCAATTAATTCCCGTAAATATTATGAACTCCCTTCCGTACGACGCAATGCTTTGTATTGAAACAGCACAGTGCAGCATATTGCTTCGCCCCACAATTGCATTCGACTTTTACTTTCTGATTTTCTGATTCCTGATCTTGACCTTTTATTTTTCAATTATAAAACATAGGTAGAGAGAATGTGTTACGTTGTCAGATGAGGCCAGGCGCCGATTTATGTCCCACTTCATGTCCTTTACTTCAGATATATTCCGTGTTGTGCGTGATCTCCCAGTATCAAGAATATATGGCTGGTCGAGGCACCGCCGCGGACGACTACGAATACGGGGTCAGTATTCTAAGAGTCTCTCAACGGAAACAGGATCGGGATAAGAGACGAAAAGTTAAGTGTACTACTAACTGTATTGTCGAATAGGTGTTATACGACTCGCGACGAAATTAATCGTCGTGAAGCGACGGATTGAAGAACAGTGCGTGGTAAATAAATTGACGTTTTAGTAACGTTCAGTAACGACAAGACTTTAAGATATCTTCTCATGATATAATGGCATTTGCAATAAAGGAGTTTCGCTTCCTTTACTCGTGTTTTCTATTCGTTCTTTACTTGTTTCTTTTGTTCCGTTTATCTTTTCCACGGTAAGATCTTCCTGATGTAAATACTTGTTGGGAAGGGAAAAGGAGAATAGCGGATGCTACTGAACGCGTAGGATTTCATCTCTCGGGCAACGAAATACTATTATTAAACAACAGTGGCAAATATCCTTGGAGGCGATATTAAGTAACGATTGTCTGTCTACAAGAACATCGTTCCAGTTGTGTTCTAACGAACGACGCGGAGGATGACAGGCAAGAACTTCTTTCGAGATATAAGTCTGATTCTCGAGCACCGCCACGCCGGTAATTCTGTTTGCCTAAGAAAATTAGGAAAGATCTCGATAGCATCAATATCTCGGGCAATCTTGTTATCCAAACAACATTCTATCTGTCGGTCTGAATCTTTATCGATTACCGTCGTTTCCTTTTTCTTTTCTTTTTTTCTTTATTTTTTCGTTTGTACCGTTCTTCTAATTCTTTTCCCAATTTTTGCACGTGCTATCAACCCGTAATAAAATCACACGGAATAAAAATAAAAAAGGGAAAATTGTTTGCATCGAGATATTTCGTCGCATATTAACGCACGCAAATCAATATTTTATCTGTGTAACAATCCGAAGCCGCAGACAATCGCGCTTGATAATTTGATTAAGGATTGCGAGCAATATTGCATATTGGATCCTTCGGATTAAAATTCTTTATCAAACTGCTGATAATACGAATAGGCATATGCAATAGGCTGTGTATCGAGCGTATAAAAAGAGCTACTCGATGGTACCTTCAGACATTGATTAATGTTGATTGCATTACTGATGACGTTATATGTACAGATCGAACTCGTATTATTAGTCTCCCCCCTTCAAGGAGTATTTGACGTAGCGACTGTCGTAACGAAGTTTGTTCGAATAAGCGTCATTCAGAATGATTGACGTGATCCGGAAAATGTACGGTAGCATCGGCGAATCGCTGCCATAAATATACGTTCGTTCGTTCGTTCACATATATATTATATACACGTTGCAATAAAACAATTCCTAAAACATTTCCTCAAAAATATTCCGATTCGAATGCGGCTATCGGGTTTAATTCAAACACTGTGAAAGAAAAAAAATCCGTTAACAGCCTTCGTACTAACACGAACCAGATTATCTTCAACGATATCCAGTTTCGATTAAACTCCTCTCGCATCAGCCCTTGTACAAAAAGCCCGCTTATCCTCCACTTACGCTAGAGTTTCAAATAGAAACTTAAAAAAGAAAAAAAAAAAAAAGAAAGAAAGTTCATTTACTCGGTGTAGGTTAAAAGAAAAAAAAAAAAAAAAAAAATTGCAAAAGAGAAAGAGATCGATCGCGTCGAAATTCGATTATAAAAATGGATCTTATGAAGTGGCCTTTGAAGGTTCCAGCAGTGAGATATGCTGTTCAGCCGCCGACTACGACAGCCACGTCTTGTCTAAGCTCCCGAAGGACAGCGACAAACAACGAAACTAAAACGACCGCAACGCCGACGCAGAGTCCTACTGCTGGTCAGAACACCCTTTCCTCGGAGAAAAGTCCTGTTTCAGGACGACCGTCCAGGAAACACGTCCAGTTCCCTGACACGGCCTCTGACAGTCAGAAGGGAAAGTCTGGTAAGTATATATGTGCGTTTTCTCCGTGTATTCACATGCCTGTCTATTCTACGCATATATTTGTATATTCAAACGAATGTAAGTTTGTTTGCTTAAAGAAATTCAATTCAGTTGCCAATTTTTGCATTAAAATCACGCCTCTGCGCGAAAGAGATTCAACTTTAATTGGTGAAGATTTCTGAAACAAGCTTCAAATGGCGTCTAATTAAACGACGTAAACGAGCTTCGTAAATTTTTCAATTTATCGAATTGTCGAATATTAATCGAGCAGTTCTACTCATCGTTGATCGAGCGTCCAGCATTAGTCGACCTCAGAATTGATCGTGGTTATTTCAGTTGCACTGCCGGGACACAGACCGTTTGAAAATTGTTATTTGCGAACAGTGAATTACAACGGTCATTTGTACGAGCAAGTTAACATGGTTGGAATAATTCGTTTTATATTCGTTTGCCTGAACAACGTTCCAGGAAAATACGTCTTTGATCGTAGATTGCAATTTGTATTTCTCTCCATATCGCTGCTACCATTTAGCAACGCTGATCTGTGTTCCTCGAGACGTTGCATTCTCACTGTGCATGGTATGCCTACGTGTGTATGTTTCAGAGGTTCCGCTCACGACGTCGGTACTTAAAATGGAAGCAAAAAACGAACACGCGACACCGTCGTCCTCGTTGAAGCTCGAGGAGGCCACGATCGATCAGATTCTTCTGTCTCGGAAAAATAGCTGTAACCAAGACACCTGAAGTTCAGAGTCTATTTATACGATCGGCATGTGAACGATAATGACAGAATGTTCCTCTTGCCAGATATTGCCGGTTCTCTTTGCTCTTGGAGAAAATTTATTCGGCTTGCGAATGGTTCCACATCGCCAATAAATAATTTATCCCTGAGTCGGTCTATGAAATAAGAAACCGACAGATTGAACCTCATCGCAATTCGCTCATAGCAACGATCGTTACCTTTGCTCTGTCACTTTCGACTGACGGAATCATCTCTATATGTGATTCTTTTTTTACGATGTATTTCATCAAATTGTCACATTGTCTTTAGGAAACTCGATTAAAATTATCATAGAAGGGACACATCGTCTCGCGAAATGTCTGTAGCCGGTCTATCGGAAATGATCGCCTTCATTTCCCGCAACGTAGTAGATCTAGATACATATTAAGTTTTTTTTTTCTACTATCGGCGGGAATCGTGAATGCAGATGCAGAATCAAAGACGATCGAATCGAATGTAAGGGCAAATATTTGTACGATTGTCGATGAATATTGACAATTTGTCGATTCAGTAATAGAATTTTGCCGCCGCGATAACGAACATTGATCTTCCAATCGAATATTGACGCTCCTTACAGTTCTTCGACATCTTTGTATCTGCGAAAGAGTATAACAGAATATTCTACGCGCGAATAAAATTGTACGACCAATCTGATCAATCAGTATTTTTGTATTATACATCTTTGGAAAGATTTGTATTTTCGGGCCAAAAAGAAACTCCCTCTCGTTTTTTTTCTTTTCTTTTTTTATTTACAAACGAATTTTTGAAAAATTGTTTACTTCGTTATCGAATACACGCTCGTTAAAACATACTTGTTTCTTGGTTTCTAATGAGGACGCTGCTCGAAACTCGCCCACTGTGAAATAAAGTATGTTTCTAGCCGAATATGATATTTGTCGATTTGCAGACTGTTCGTACTCTCAAATGTACATATTACTGTAAATTACAATATGTGTTGCCGTACCTGTTATATATAGATTCCGTAAGGGACTTTTAAAAGGCTGTTCTGACATTTTCAATAAATAATTCATGTGGTTTTCTAACCTTGTTTTTTCAGTAACAATATTATTGATTAATCGTAAATTTCCAAGCTTCTCGATTCGTCACACTCTTCAACCAAAGTCACAGATCGATCGATCACTTTTTCATCCCCTCGATGAAATACTTTTTAATCTGCAAAAACGATTTTCTCTTCGTCTCTGGGAAGTAAAACACCAGAAAGGGGATACTGAACGCGTTCAATCCGGAAATAAACCAAAAGGCAAAAGAATATACGTTGTACTGGAACACGATCCAACGCCAGACATGCAACATAGTAAATGACCATGTGAAATTTATACAAAAACAAAAGCTGACGCATGTTGCTCTTGCGTACATTGGGAAAAACTCGTTCGTGACAACGAAAGGTACGCTGGCCAATCCTAATGAGACGCTAATGGTGTAAAGCAGTACTGTTAGAAAGAACAACGGCTGAAGATTCGTGGTATCTATAGCATTCTCCTGCATGCAGGAGTAGATGCCCAGAAAGAAGTTGCAACTGGAAACGCCTACGACGGACATGATCATTAGGGGTCTTCTCCCTAAACGATCCACTAAGCTAATACACATGAGATAAGAGATCAGATACACCGTTGATAAAACGAGGTTGGCATAGATCCCGTGTAACTGAACGTCGTGGATCTCCTCAAAGACTGTTCGAGCATAACCGATAAGAATAATCGGGCCTGAGATCGCTTGCACCAGCATCACAGCCACGCCAATCAAGATCGCGGTTTTTCCTCCTGAAAAAAAATTGAATATTTTAATATATCATAGACTGTGTTCAGTTCAAATTCAAAAATGAAGAAGTTAAATAACTAACTTAAACATGAGATTTGACCAAAGTTTCGTCAAGGATTTTATTTACCTGATTCAGAAATTAAGTGCAAGAGGGAAGACAATATCCCGCTGCTTCGAGGATCGAATTCCGCTGCCTTCATAATCGAATCCATTTCCTCGGTAACGTCACATGTGCCACGCAGAAATATCAAGGAATCCATAGCAGCCGCTAATCTTTTCTGACGTAGCAAGTAATAAGGAGTTTCAGGGCACCAGATGTACACCACGAATTGCATCATTGCCAACGACATCGCCACGTACGAGTATGTGCGCACGGTGCAAAACGAGCCGATTACGCAACCCAGAAGATCACCGCAATAATCCATTAATACGAAGCAACTGCACAAAGCACCGCGAATGTCCGCGGGAGAGATCTCTGTCACGAACGTCAAACCGCTCGTGAAAATTATGCCACTGACAGTCCCGCCAATGAAATGAGCCACGTACACATTCTGAAAATAAGAGAGATCACATTTGATCGTGACCACGTGAAAAACGAGAGTTACTCTCGCAAATGTTGGAGATTCAACAGTGCTTTCGAAATACGTTACAAAATTTCGGGAATGATTGTTTGATAAATAAATATTCTGAAAGTATTTACCAGAATCGATGGGTTGTACGCTATCAGTAACCAACTCAGGCAGGTTGGAACGACCGTGAATAATATCGAGATCTTTCTCCCTAGAAAATCGACGATGAATATGGAAAGGAAGCATCCGAAGGCTGTTCCGAGTTTTAATGAAGACAGTGTCCAGAAAACTTCGTTGTCAGTGATTTCAAAGGGGGAGTCATCGACTGACAATAGAGGCGACCATTTCGAAAACAGACCCGCGTTCAATTCGGCCAAGCACACTGTCTTAACGTAACAATTATCAATATACACATATATATATATAATTGCAATTTATCAATTAATCATTCAACATTATTATCTATAAAACAGATGACACAATTTACAGAATTTTCTTTACCTACGAAAGTCACCAGATAAAGTTTTGCATATGACATGTTCACGAGTGTCACGCGGTACTACGTTTTTGCTAAAAAGTAAAACTGTGTATCGCAACACAGGCATAATTGCATCGATAAAAATTTTCTATCGCTTTTTCCTTCATAAACATTTCGAAGGTGAACAGGCTGTGATAATAATAATTGTTTCACAACAGTTGAATGTATTAAAACATTCAACTGTAATAGATGGAAGCGTGCATGTGTAAATAATATAGTATTGTTTTACAAGACGTATTATTTATGCAAATATTCTGATACACTAAAGAATTACTATGAATTTCAGCAAACGTCGTTACCAATTTTGAATAATATTATCGGCTTATTTGCAATATCGTTCTTATCCAATAAATATTTATATTTAAGAGAATTATTTTACAAATGAAATACAACATCCACAACATAATCTGCTGTAACCTATGAATAATCATCGTTGTACACACAGGGATTATCATATATATCGGCGCGTATGTATTTATTCGTCTACACACAGATAACGGCATTGATTACTTGGATGTTAATTAATACACGGCGCAAGTAACCAAACGATAATCTATTCTCCAAGCTGGATGTTAATCTCATTTAGTTAGTTCTTTCATGGAATTAAAACAACGTGACTATATCCTTCTGAATAATATTATTTAATTTTTTTTACGAATAAACAAAAGATTTTGACGAAATAAATACTTCTCAGAAAACTTTAGAAAATTATTTCTACGTTGTGGAATTATTAAATGTTTATGATACATAAAGTAATTTATTTACAAACAATCGAATGAGAAATAATTTCTTTATGAAACACGTCGTTTGTACATTGTATAATTACACATATGTTATGTCTGATCATGATCAGGAAGATTCACTGTCAATAATAACGATTTACATTCGCTAAACCTCAGTAGTAACGAGCTATATGGATCAGACTACGGTTTATGCAATTTAATAACTTGGCTTTCAACACTTCTGATTATAATGGTCTACATAAATTATTATCGGTCTATTACTAGCGTAAGTAAATTACATTTATGAGCATAAGTAAATTATATTTATCTATCTATCAATCATTCTATGATCAATTCGTTCATATTTAATTTTTAAATAAAGATTAAGTGCGAGAACTGAAAGTTTAATAAAATTTAATAAACTCTATGTAATCTTCCATCCATATGTTTGTGAACAATATTCGTACAATTTTCAATAGACTGTATTAAAGTCCAGAAAGTGAAACAGAAGGTGCATATACGTTGAAATTTAATTGCAGGGAAACAAAGTGGTTGTGCCATGTATGCGAAACGTGTTTCAAGCGTGCAACGTTGCACTACTGTGAAACAAGAGTATAATGGTTTCCCTTTATGTTGCTACCTGAGATTTTGAAAAATATTTGTAAAAATAAAGTTGCAAGCGTCGAACAAAACTATAATTAATTACTTGACAAAGTATCATTAAAGGCTTTTCTGGTAAAAGTACTACTATCGGAAAGTACTATCGGAAAAGATAAGTAGTATGATTGGAAAAATAGTGTTTTTTAACGAAAGCACCATAATTTTATCGAAAAAACCTGATTGTAAGTAACTATGTTCTATATGCTAACTATAGGTAACTATATAACTAGGTAATTCACCAATATTATCTCGAAGAGATATGTCCGATATTAATAGGGAACATATTCCTGCACTCACAACTGTTGCACATAAATATTATACAAAACTATTTATATAATAAAAAGAAAGGATAGAAAGAAGAATATTCTGTTCTATTGTGATATTTTGCAAAAATAATAAAAGAACAAGTCGAGATAAATATCAAAGAAATATCAAAAAATTGATTATTTGAATTTACCAGTAAAGTATGAAAAGGATTTTAATTTGAAAAAAAACAATTATTATGGGTTCAATAAGATATTTCGTTTGACAATTATGCCAGAGTTGTGTCGTAAAGGAGAGGCAGCTATAGAAGCATTCTATGAAACAGAAACTATCGAACAGACCAATGGATTTCCTACCTTGTGGCTTCCCACGAGAAATACTACGAATCCATCAATTAAATCTCCAATTTGTGGCATTGATGATCCAGATTAGCCGTTACATTGGCAACCATTGCTACGACGAATTATTCAAAGTTTCTATCACCCAAGACAAATGCCCAAATTAAGTGCAAGTACATTCCCTGAAATAAATCTAAACTTCTATTAATGTAATTACTTCATGATTGCTTCTTACTGTTTGTACTAAACGTGCGTGATTAATCTTTCTTCGATCTTTTCTCCATCCTAATTGCACATTTCAACAATAATTCCAATATAAAATAAAAAGTAAATATTCTTATTACATTCTTATTACAATTTATATCCATGCAACTGCTCTTGTATTTCTTGCAACGTTTTCTTCTTTGTTTCCGGTACGAAATAATATGTGAAAACGACGCCTAAAGCAGCGATGGAAGAAAAGAACCAAAACGCAACGTATATGCCGCATTGTTCCGCGATACTTTGGTAAGAGAGAGACACGGCAAAAGCAGAGAAATTTAGGCCCAGCATTCCAATCATAATGCCGACCGCTTTAACATTTGTGGGGAAAATTTCGCTCATCATGGTAAACGGAAGTGCAGCCAGGCCGATAGCATACATGACGATGTAAAGTATCGATCCAACAGCTGGCAACCAGGTGATCTTAGTAACGTCCACTTCGATGTGTTGAAGGAAAAAGAATAAAGCAATGAGGCAGTTGGAAATGGAAACGCCGAACGCAGAAATTAGAAGCAAAGTCCTTCTGTTGTACCAATCCACTATAGACGCGCTGATCCCGGCGCACACCACTTGCACACCACCCAATATCATGGTTAAGTATTTGCCTTCAAGCTGGCTTTTCGTCTCATTGAAAATTAATTCAGCATATGAGAGTATTGCCAAACTTCCACTCCATTGTTGTATAATAAATAGACCCAACACAACTATTAACGCTCTACAAAACACAAAGCAAAAGAAATTAATATCTGTTGCTAGAGCTCACAAAGATTTGTGATCACTCCCCCCTGAAAATTCATGAAACAAAAACGCACTTCCGATTTCCTGGAACGCTGATTAATTCCCATAATCCAGTGTCATTTGCCAAGTCGTACTTTATGGACTTTTCGATCATTTCTATTTCTTTAGAAACATCTGTGGTCCCTCTTAATTGCACAAGAGACGTTACCGCTTGCTGATTTCTGCCACAACGCATCAGATAATAGGGTGATTCCGGTAACGATATTAAAGAAAGAAAGAAAAGAATCGGTATCGACGATGACACGAGCGCAAGATCTCGTACAGAAAAAAATGGTCCTACTACCCATTCGAAGAATAGACCAAATTTCGAAGCTAGAGTTAACGTGGACGTTAATATTCCTCTTATGTTAGCCGGCGAAATTTCACCGACGTACGTAGTAGCGGACATATATCCAAATCCACTACTCAATCCACAAATAATTCTGCCTACAATTAATTCCTAAAGAATAAAAATGAATTCTAGTAAATAATGAAAAAACAATTCCATATATTGCAAGAGATTTGATAACCAAAATATCGAATTTATATCGACGTTGCAAAGTCATAGTTTAATCTTTAATAGTCAATATCTGTCTGCGTGGCTTAAAGTATTAGCCATTATCTCGTAGGAATCAAACATTCGTATCATAGAGTCGTTTGAATTGAAAAATTATAGTTCTATACTAAAAATCTTACCCGGCTCTCCCTCCCTTTTTTATTGTTATATATATTTATATATTTTTATTATGTATATATATTTTTTTTATTTATTTCTATGTATAGTGGAAATATATTGATAAATTACCCATGCTGATGTCGCGAAAGCTATTATCATCCATCCTGTCAATCCAGGTATTGCGGTAAGAACTAGAGTCGTCTTTCTCCCAATTACATTTATAACGTAGCTACAAAGCATCGCACCAATAGTTGAACCCAGAATAAAAGTGGATGAAACCCATGCAGCCTGTTGGATGGTCAACTGTATAGGACTGTTACTTTGCAATAGGAGAGACAATGAAGGTGATGACCAGCCAAAAAATAGACCAAACGATATCATACCTAAATTGCCTACGATTATAAATTAAGATAATTTATGAAATTCTATTTTTTATGTTTATTATATTTATATTTTATTATATTATATTTATATTATATTATATTTATTGTATTATCAAGTTAAACTCATTGAATAATAATACAAAGATAATATATATATATATATATATATATATATATATATAAACAATAATACAGTTGAACATAACTTACAACCAAAGACAGCTAAATATACTTTCTTCATAGTTTCCACGAGATATTCACAAAACAAACGAACAATTTATAAAAACGGCCGATCGTACATGTTATAATGTTACAAATGATAGTTTCTTGTCAAATCTACGTTATGTATTCATAATCAGTGTATTACGTAGTACGTCGTTATCGAACATCTCTAATTCTCAACTGACAAATCGAGATAAAAACATTCCAGTGCTGATACTTTGTAGCAAAATTATATAAACTGTATAAACTAGGATAATAAAAAAAATTGTGTATCTCAGTAGCCAATAATCGTATATTATTGTTTTATTTTGTCTAATTTTAATTATTTACTGAGTCTTCCATTCTTAGTTTACATTACTATATTATTAAATTAATGAACAGAAAATAGTTGCACCACACACAAATAATCTCATTAATAATAACAATATAATTATAGGATAAAATATTAATCGAATGTTTATTTTTTACCCTGTAAATAGGCATAACATTCATGTACCTTCTTTGTGCTATTTTCTAAAACAACAGATATTAGATGAGCAATAAATACAACTTATTAAGTCTGTTACAAAAAAATATTTTTGCATAATTTATTCATACCCAGTCTAAAGAGATTTATAAATACATAAAATCTAATAAATATTGTACACTAAAGTATTTCAATTATAAATTAAGATAGATCTTTATTTTTGTATCTGTTGACTACTAATCTAAAAAATTAATATTATCAATTTGACAGTATAAATTTATCACAGATTCGTAATGCTTGGAGTTTTTTTTCTTTAAGATAACTACAATTAAAATATATATTTACAATAATAGAGCTGCTACCATTTTTATATTTTTCTTTTAATTTTATAATTCTAACCACAACTAATAGAAATCCAAACCCATTGATCAGTTTTATAACAGTTACATAAATACAATTTACCATTTGTCAAGTCTGTTATAAATTTATATACATATTTATTATATAAATTTATATATATGAATAATGCATGTTAGAAGCCAGAATGAACGTTAATACAAAAATTGTATAACATATAACATATATATTTTTTCATGACAAAAGGCATTTGTTTAGATGAGTATCAAATCATTATGTGCGAAAACATGACAAAAATATGATTATAAAATTGATAGTTTTCAAATATTACATAAATACTGTTTCTTGTATGCATACACTATGTAAAAACACAGCCAATTATATTAAACTTCTTATAAAATACTGAGTTTGTATTCTCTTTCCATTACAATTTTATAATACACTTTCCAATATATATAACAATGCAAATTATTTTCTTCTTATTTTTATAAATTGATACATTAACAAATAAAAAAATTGTTTTAAACTTGTAAGAGATAAATACTAAGTACGATTCACGAATACTCGTTATACTTTACAATATCTTAATATTACAATATTAATATTAACAACTTTTTGTGATATATTATTTAAATATTAAAATAATCGTGAAATATATGAATTTTGTCTACACATATAGAAATATACAATAACAGTGTAGATCAGAAACTACAAGAAATAAATATATATAAATTTTCCTACAATATCTCATTCTTGAATGAATTTATACCAATTGATACAATAATACTGTACCTACAAAGGAACTCCGTCTTTTTTACTAATGTAAGGAAAATGTATTACAAATTTACTTGGAACATTCGATTAATTTTATAAAAGAATATAATATTTAAATGTTGAGATAACTTAATAAAGAAAACGACTCGCAGGCATATTAACTGCACCTCGACAGTTACTAGGTGGAGGGTTTTCATCATCAGAATTCTCATTCTTTCTAAACAATATCGAATTGTGTCGTCCGCGTTGAGATTTCTCGGCTTGATGCCTCAATTCCTCAATATAAGCTGTAGTATCATTTGCTACCAGTTCTTGTAAATGTTTACTTAATGTCGATAATTCGGGCTTATCTTCATCATAAAGTCCTTCAAAGGGCATAGCTTTTTCATAAAATAATATATAAGGCGTATCCGGTGGTTTTAAATCTTTAAAGTCATTAAATGTCGTTTGTGAAACATAACTATCATTAAATTTGTACCAATTCTGCTTTGAATCGCGAGCGTAAGTGAAATAATGGCCATAATCCATACTATAACCTGAATGAACAACAGCAGCATACAATTGATAACTTTCTGTAGATGGTGTAGATACTGGTAATTGTATAATTTCATTGTACATCACTTTGTGTCGTAATTTTGTTCTTAATCTGGTATCGAAATCATAACGAAAATGTTTTAATATTAAAATTAAATATGTTGGTGCATGCAAAATTTTTATAATTCTTTGTGCATCACATAATTTCATACATTTATCGCAACGATATTTATTTTCACCAGTCAATTTTTCTGGTGTAAGATAATAATTTATGAGATCTTGTACAGAAACTTCTTGATTCTCTTGTATCTCTTCTGGGAAGCACAACTGTAAGTCACGAAATTTATCCGTATTATGAGAACTAGTATCACACTGTGCACACTGATACGTGATTTCACATTTTCCTCCTAGTACTCTATGTACAAGAGGTACTTGTGTATTTGTATCTTCTCCACCTACAGATTGTATTCCACTATCTGTGGAATCTGAATGTGAATCGCTAAGTTGTTGTACTTGTGCCAAATCTTCTCCTGCAATAAGAAGATATAAAATTAATACCAAATCTAAATCGTTGTAATAATGTCGTTATTTAAAAAAAAAATTACTTTGAGTAAAATCTGCTAATGACTGTGTTTTTCTCTCCAGTACAATACTACCACTTAAATTTCCTTCAGTTCTCCAACGCTTAATACTAGCTTCTTCCTCATTCATTGATGAAATATCATTTATCTCTCTATCATCCTTGTATTTAAGATTAGAATTATTAGCTTCACCATTTATAGTAGTTGACTTTTCTTGCTCGTGTAGAAGGTCTAAAAGATGACTGTTGGAAACCAATATAATACAGTATTTAATTAAATTTGTTTCATCATAAAAATTATAAATATGAAAATTTATTATTATATTATCAAAGTACATTCTATTAAATAACAATTACCAAATAATAATTATAAAATGTTAGTTAATGTAAAAAATAAGCATTAGAATACTAGCAATATATTAACCAGAGAAATTCTGAACTATCTTGTTGTTGACCCGGGAGAAAATAAGCAGGACGTGAAGCTAATAAAATTTCAGTTGGTGCCAAGGAAATCCTCTTTGAATATAATAACAAAGCAAATAGATTTTGCAACTTTTTAAGTACAACTTGATCATCAGCTTTGCTTGAAGGTTTGTACATTAATACTTCATAACAAAATTGTCTAGTCATTAATAATGCTTGTAATACACTGTTCATATAACATGTATTCCCAAGATTAGAAAGTCCAACTTTTCCCAAATGTGTTTTTGGTGATTCAATTACTGGTTCGATCTCTTCCATTTCATCTATCCAGACATGATCATTCCATATTTCTCTAACGACATCCATCCGTGGTTGTACTGGAAAACTATTTTCCAAGTTAGTACAGACACGCTGATTTGAAAATCTTAATGTAAGTATTTTCATGATATCAACTAAATTTTGTATACATTCTTTGCTTGATTCAGAATCTTCTTTCATCAAAAAGAAAGATATCACCATTTGTGTATTTCTTATTATATTTTGAAACAAAGATGGTGATCCTTGTTTTTTTAATATATAAAATAAAATTGTGGAAGCATTTTGACGAAATACAGGTATTGATAAAGCACGAAACATTACATCCAGCTTTGCTTTCGTGACCTCGATAAGTATTGAATATTTATGTCGTTTTTCTAAACCACGTATAAATTCCATAATCCAAATACTAAGTCGATCACCTATCCATTTTGGAAGCCAACTACATAAAACTTTCAAAGCTTGCGCTAATTGGGCATCAGAGCGTGATTCTGAAAGAATCCAATCAACAGCTTGTGGTATGATAGAAGGTTCTACCACTTGTAATACAGCAGCTAAACCAGGTTCAGGATCTTGTTTTTGTTTGGTATCAGATATTATTCTGTATAATGTTTGCAAACATATGAAAATTAAGTTATCATTTTCAATATTCTTAGACCTCGATCTTACTACTTTTAGGAAGTTTTGTACTTTGGTAGCATTATCATTGAACTCGGAAATCTTTTTCGGATCACAGGGCATCTCGAAGGTAGACAAACTAATAACAACTGCTTCGCAAAGTTTTGAATGACTCACAGATTCTGGTAAATAAACACTATATTCCAATAATACTTGAAGTATCATTGTCAGATGAGACATATCATTGATGTCTGTATTTCTTAACATTGTTGCAACATCATTTGATATTGGATGAACTGTAAATGACTTTTCTATTAAATATTTTGAAAACCAAATCATGATCTTCGGAATCTCTTGAACATTTCTTATTTCATCATTGAGTAGTTCTCGTAAGATAGTTTCATAATTATTTAACTGTCCATAAACGGGTTCACTTTCTAATTTTCTAAGTGTGATCCATCCTTCTGCAACGTCTGTATCTTTACCAACTATTATTAATTTCAAACATTGTTTAATGTCATACTTAAGAATTTGTTCAGTATTCATTGTTCACAAATTATTATTTTAACACCACTTTAAACTGTTTCGCTTATAATTTTTAGCAAGAACTATTATTAACCTCAACCAAGAATGACTTTCACGAAAATCTAAAGGATTTCATGATCCTAGAGAAATAAAAAAAAACAAGTGTCAACTTTGAAACAAAAAAAGTAACTATATTTACCGCAAGAAAAATTTACTTTACATTTTAAAACCATTTATATGTTTAAACGCTTATTTACCTCTATGGTCTTACAAATTTACTATAAACTTGATATCCCTCTGCTTTCGTTTTATTTGAATATTACAAATTGAACATAATCAAAATAAATGTATGAAAACATTTTATACATGAAATTATTAATCGTTTTTATTAAATACAAAAATACGTTTTAAAGTACGTTGTTCCTAACATTGTTTTTAACTATTATTCGCGATGTATTATACATATGTGACAAGAGAATTGAAGAGGCGCTAGAAATATGAGAGTGCAAAATGTTGGCTACACTACAGGTTGTTTCGTTGGTTTCGACACAGCTCGCACGGTACGGGACGGCCAAGAATAGCAAAGAGCACGCGAATCTAGCCGTCCTGTAACTGAGTCTGGTGAAGGCGACCGACCGCTCCCTTCGTAGTCCGTCAGAACGTATTTTGGCGTATATTTTTCTTAGTAGACAAACGCGCGATTCGCGATTAAGTCGTATATGGAGGTAAGAAGATCGTTTCAGCGTGTCGAATCACGCAAAGTGAACTGAATTGAAGTGGCCTCGGCGAAGTGAAGTTCTAAAAGCAGTAGAGAAGGAGAGAGTGAGACGAAGGAAAAGAAAGAGAAGAAGAGACTGTGTGCGAAGTGGTTATAAGGTTCTTGAGTGCAGTCGTGCGTGTTTTCGGGCAATGTCTCTCGAGAGTCGTTCGAGTTCGGCCCTGTTTAAGAGGGCTGAACAACTGAAACGCTGGGAACAGTCCGAAACAAATCGCGAACCGACCCAACCACGTCAGGTCGCACGGAAGATCAAGTTTTCAGCGGATTGTGTGTTCCTGGCAGCATGCGCGGCAGGCGACAAGGAGGAGGTCGTACGTTTACTCCAAAAGGGGGCGGATATCAATACCGGAAATGTTGATGGTCTCACAGCATTACATCAGGTAGAATCCCTCGCTAACTCTTTCACCCCTTTGTTTATATTCCATTTTGATACGACAATGTCCACACAACAACAAACTCGATTCGGTTCTACTAGCTCTGCTTTCACATCATGTTTTTTCTCGTTCGATTATAATTCTTATTGCAAGATGGCTACTGTATGCTCTAACTGTCTAATTTAACTGTAATCGATCAAATTTTCTTTCACGCCTGTAATCTACAATGTCACATTTAATAATGGGAGAAAGATGCAGATGTAGCCACAGAATACACGCTTCCGCTATCTCTCGCAATTCAAGCCATACAACTACTCCCTCTGATAACACTCGACAAAACTGTTCAACCCCCCACCCTCACCCGTCTGTGATTATTGTTTATATATATATATATATGCAGCAAAAAAAAATTTTCAAAATGAACAAAATTATATAGTAAAACAATTGCACTTATATCTGGTTATCTGATTATTTCATTAATAAGTTAATTAAATGGCATAGTTAACTCGGCAAATGCAATCAAATCTTATCTTTCCTCTTCTTCTAACATCTTATCTTAAAAATCTGTATAAATTTTTCTTGTTGCATTTTATGTTCATGTCAAAATTATACGTGTAAGAATTAATTTGACGTTATAACTATCAATTAAAATATTAATTCTACGCAAATAAAGTCTAAAATTATAAAAGAGGGTATTTACTTGAATTTAATATTAAATATTTTATATATTAATATATATTTTTGATATAAACTAAAAGAATTCCTTTTAAAAATGGATTTAATATTAATTGACAAATGTTGTATTGATTCAATCTATCATACATTCAATCTATTTTGTTAAACAAGTAAATTTGAAATATTAATTTAATGTGTTGTTAACCATGAAATATATCAAACTTAAGATAAAAATAAAATAAAAATATTTTCTCAATGAATAAAAATATTTAAATTATTACTATTATAGTAAAACAATATTTATATAAAACAATAATATTTTATAATTATTAATGTTTGTATTATTTATTATCTGTATGAAAAGGTTGAAGAGAAATCTTATAAAAATTCAAAATCAAATTATTTATATATAAAAATTTATAATAAAAATAAAAAATTTTTTTATTGATTTATATAAATAAAAATTATATATTTAAAAACTGACTGACATTTATGTTTTACTAAAAAAGTACCTTTTTATTTGAATCTAGTGTTCACGAGAAATCAGTATCAGGAAAATAGTACTTATTGTATATCAAAATTATTATAATCTTTGATTGTTTGCATCATTACAAATTATATTCAATTTATAAATTTTATTGAATGAATTGTATTATAGTTATGTAATTACAAAATTGAACTAGAATCATTCATACAGTATTTGTGTATTCCTATAGCAAAAATGATTTAGCTCAAGAAAAGCACATAAATAAATTATTTTGCATAAAATATATCATATTTGTTACTATTATTTAAGTGTGATAGTAAGAGGAAGTTTAGGCATTTCATGGATTTGCGAAAATAGAATGTGAAAATACATCAGGCATCAAATGCTATTTATAGTTCTCTGTTAGAAGTCAGAGGCTGCAGCATCTGTATTCTATGTCCTCTGTCTTAAAATGTTATGATACATAATGTCCTTTTTAATTTATATATGATGTCATTCTTCAATTTTCATGTTTATTTAAACATATATTTGTATATTCAAAGTATAAAATAATTAAAGAATTTATTATTTATAATTCTATTAGGTATAATGCAGTAATTTATATACAATATTTAAGTACCAAAATTCATTCATCTCAATAAATTATTAATAAATTTCTTCATTACTTTCTTTCTCATTTTTCTATTTAACCTTCAAAAAAAGCACTTATATTTTTGAAGGCTTTATTTATTAATTAATTTATTAACTTTTTATATATTCTATCTTTAGTCATAAATATTATATCTTAAAATACCTAATCATTTCCATAATTATAATTTGTACAATTAAAAGGAGTCTCAATGTTTTAATTGTAGGCATGTATCAATGATGATCTGGATATGGTCGAATTTTTAGTGGAAAAAGGAGCTGATATCAATTGTGGAGATAATGAAGGATGGACACCATTGCATGCAACTGCATCTTGTGGATTTATATCTATTGCTAAGTTAGTATTACTTTCATTTCAATATTGAAAATATTATGATTTAAGAATCTTAATAACTATTATAACTATTATAGTAATAAATTTCAGAAATTTTTTTAAATAAAAATCAAATGTTGCAGATATTTAATAGAAAAAGGATGTAATTTAGCAGCAGTTAACTATGATGGCCAATTAGCTCTTGATATTGCTGAAAGTGTTGAAATGGAGGATATGCTGCAACAACATATAAGTAAAGCTGGTTTGTATTTATAATTATCTCCTATAAAAAATATATTGTAATCATTTAGTTATAAAAGATATAAAGTATATTTTATAATTTGATTCATAGGCATAGACTGTGACCAAGCCAGAAGTGAAGAAGAAAGATCAATGTTAAATGATGCTAGAGCATGGCAATCAGGAGCAACTGGCAAGGACTCAATCCATCCTAAATCAGGAGCTACTGCTCTTCATGTTGCTGCTGCTAAGGGCTATATTGATGTTATGGAGTAAGATTCTTCAGATTCTATTAAAATAAAGTATTAAAAAAAATATTTATTAAAAATATAAATTATTTAAGATATTTAAAGAAAAATGTAAGTTAAAACTATTGCTTGTTATGTTCTATATTTAACACTGGTATTTCAGAATATTATTACAAGCTAGATGTGATGTTAATGCTCAAGATTTTGATGGTTGGACACCTTTGCATGCTGCAGCACATTGGGGACAATTAGAAGCCTGTGAACTTCTAGTGGAAAATTTTTGTAATATGGACATTAAGAATTATGCTGTAAGATTACAATTGTTTTATATTATAAATAACCAAAATTGTTTCTTTCATAACTTTACATTGATAGGATCAAACTGCATTTGACATTGCTGATTCAACTATATTATCAGCTTTGGAGGAATTAAAAACAAAACAACAGTTGTTAATGAAAGATCATCCACAAATTATTAATAAGAAACAACCAACTATACCAAAGAAGCGGTTTGTACTAGGAACAATTATTTTAGGATACAAATCATTATTTATACAAAAAATATTTTATTTATTGTATTAATCATATTACAGTGTATCGACAAATAATGAAAATACTATAACTACGCAAGAATTAGTGGAAACATTTGAAGAAGAAACACCAAATAAAGTTAAAAAGGTCGAATTAGAAATTCAATCTGATAAAGAAGATTCTAGTACTGGAACAAATAGTGATGTTGGTACGTTTTGTTTTTTTTTTTTTATATATTACTTATATGGGTTTGCTAATTTGCATGTTTATATTTAAATATTTGGTAAATTATTTGATTTTATTACTAAATGGTGAGGATTTTCTAAACTTAGAAATTCTATAAATATTATTGTGTAGAAAAAATGTACTTAAAAATATATTGTATAACACAATAATTACTTACAACTTTATTTAAAATCGTGCGGCAGAGTAATACTATCAGGGCACTCTGTGAATTAAAGAAAGTAAATTTAGTATTTTTCAATCATTTTATCTATATAAATACATTTTGATGAAATGTAAATCTTATAAAATTGTTCACTTTTACTTTCGAAAAATTCAAAGATTATTTTTAATTTGTTTACTAATGATTGAAGAGTGCTGACGTAGTTAGGAATAGTTTTTTGTTTTATGAAGAATATGTTTCGCACTATTCAGTTTTGCAAGTCTATTTTACTTACCTTAACAGCAATTTGTATTTCTTGTAACAATGCTGCATGGACAGAAGCGACACGTGAAACAGATATGGAAGAGAGTGATGGTGAAGGTGAATCTGAGACTAGCTCAGACTCACATTCTTCCACTTACTCCAATCAATCTGATAAGTCTAACGAATCAAACCATTCTCCATGTCTTACAGATGATGGTGAGTTTTGTCTGTAAGGCTGTTTTTATACTCTTAAAATTATATTCTGTTGCATGTATTATAAGATATGTTTGTTTTCTTTTGTTTTTTTCATAATGAAAATAATACTTTTAAAATTTGTTTATTAAAAACATCCCATTGAAATTGATGGGTACATGTTCCATTGATGTCCTTCCTTCTTAAGAAAACATAGTAAAATTGATTTAATTTATATTATATTTTAATTTAATTTTACAGAAAAGAAAAATAGAGCAAATAGAGAAGAAATATCCTCGCGTAATACTTCGTCTCCTATCGATGCTAGTAAAGTTCCTAATCAGGTAATATTTATATCAATATTTAACAATATATATTCTTGATCAATAATGTTTACAATTTTATTTTTTAAGGCTCCAATAATGCCTCCAAAACAACAGACTGATAGTGAAGAAGGAGTTATACCATCTTGGCGACGTTCAGGCTCTTTCAGAAATAGAGTACAAAATACAGAAGGAACATACACTTCAAGTAAGTTATGAATATTATAAAGATATTTTATATTGTCTCACATCATCACAATATATTATTATTATTTTCTATGTTACATATCCATAGAGCTTGAAGAAAAAGATAAAAGTATTAAATCGCCAACCATGTCAAACAAGCTTAATACAGAACCTGATGTTGTATTGACAAGAACACATAGCTTTGAAACGGATGAAAAGTAAGTTAAATGAATATTTAATATATGTTGTTTGTGATATTACAATTTTCGAATTTCTTATTATTCAAATTTCATTAATATAATTATATTTTTGTATCACGATTATTTATAATTCTGCATATCTATGTTTATTGCTTATATTAAAGTTTGCAAGCGTTTAACAAATTATTTATTTACGTAAAAAATTAAATGCAGTAGCTTTTGTGCTTTATGCATATAGAAAATTAGTGTAGTTGTATGCATGGCATGGTGCATGTTATGCAGGTTTTATGAACAGTACTTGGCATTACGAGCTCGAATCAAGGCGTTTTCTTGTCCTACTCTCCATTGCTGCAATGCTACTCTTACTCACACGAATACTACAACACGTTCTGCATCTCTACGCGAAACCCACAGGTGCGCATATTTCGTACATCGTATATATATATATATATATATATATATATATATATTAATTCTTTCAATATGTGTAGTTTAATTTAATTTAGTATTACATGAAAGCTTCTGCATACTGTATTATTTAATTTCTTTGTTGTATTGGAATCATTAATGTACGAAGTAAGCTTTCTGCATTCTCTGCTTTTTTGCATGGCTTAAAGATCAATTAATCATTTTATTGTATACTTCACAATATTATGTATTTCACAAAATAAAATTGTAAAACAGTGTAATATTAAACTTTATTCTGATATTATAAAATTTACGTAGCTGAAATAAAATTGTATTTTTCTATGATATAACAACCATACTGTTTTGATTTAGAAAAAAAGAAGCAAAATTAAACTTGGAACTCTCAAGACTGCCACAAGGAAGCAATACACTTTCACCAACAACTACATCAAAAACAATAGTGTCAAGTACACTGCCAACTACTACAGCTACAGCTACAACTGCCACAACAACAACAACAACTACTACTACTACTACTTCTACTACTACTACTTCTACTACTACTACTACTACTACTACTACAAGTCCTAATCCAACTAATCAAATACGCAGGTAAATATTAGAAAGAGCAAAAATTTATTTTAAACAAATTGATACAGGGAAACAAACTGCCATTTATAAAGTATTTCCCAATTTCTTAATAATAAATTCAGAACAATTTCTTAATAATAAATTCAGAAACTCAGTAAATAAATCTGTTGAACTAAAATAAGTATTTTAAAGCTTAATTACAACAAACACTACAATCTAGAATATGTATAAAATACATTTAAGACTGTAGTTTATATATTCATATTTGCATCGTGCAATGTTAATGTGGCTGAGTAGTGTTCAACCAGTGGAAGCTACAGCTACAAACAATTCAGTAGCAGTTCCTGGAACTCCCACTACACCAGGAGGGAGCAAGCTAAGTCCAGGAAATATCTTCAAGAATTTCTTCAAGTGGGTACTTAATGTTTGACCTGAGAAGATTCTCTTGAAATGTGTGATATTTTGCATATTTTATAATACAATATTAAATTATTGGCAGTGGCATGAAAATTTGCTTACAATATAATTATTTATTTGAGTTGCATACATTTATCCTAAAATATTACTTGTCCCAATAACCACTGCCTTGTCTTTGCTACTGAAACATATAAATTAATTTTCTCAGCCACTTAAATAGCTTCATATTTTTCAATGTACTTTTTCTTTTTTCTTTTTTTTTCTTTTCTTTGTTTTTTTACATTTATATAAAACGTACTTTAGTAAATTTACTGATGTTCAGTAAAATGATGACACAAAGTCATGGCTTCAAATATACAGAAGTACTATGAATGACATAAAAAAGAAGAATATATGCCACTGACATACTATTTTTTAATTTTATGAAAAAAAGAGTTTTGGCATGTCTTTAAATTATATTTTATCTGTGTGATATAAATACAAACAAATGATATTTTTATTTCCTGACTATTACATATAGAACTGTAATATTTATAAATAGTTTTAATTGATAATAAATAATAATAAAATAGTTGTTTAATGTTAAAATAAAATAATTTTAACATAATAATAATTTTATGTGATATTTGTAAATGTTGCCTGTAAATTATGTTTATTATATTTAATGCTTTTTTAATTTTTTATCATACTTAAAAAATTTAAAAATATTGTACAGGTACTCTCTTAATGCAAGCTATTAATATAATGTAAACTTCTGTTTAGATCGTTTGTTCCTCCTGTTCGTGATGAAGAAAGTGAAACACAAAGAAAAGCTCATGCAAAAAGAGTAAGAGAAACTCGACGTTCAACTCAAGGAGTGACACTGGATGAAATTAAAAGTGCAGAACAACTAGTAAAAAAGAAACAACAAAATAATGAAGTTTCTTCTGCAATATCATCTACACAGGTAAATCTCTTCATACAATATTATTTTACCCTAAGTAATACAATTGTTATAAGATATATAATTAAGCTAGAATTTTTTAACCCTATATATAACTATTATGTATAAACTTGGTTTAATTTGCATATCTGCAATACTTATAAAATACTAAACTTCCTAATAATAATAAAAGCTTTTTAATTGTTTATTCATATTTTTTTTAAATAACTCAGCCTGCAACCACTACCAGCAATACAGCCTCGATTACAGCTACAATAACAACAGCAACTCCTACTACTGTAATTGCAAATAAACCTTCTGAAGAACTTAATTTACCTGAGAGACGCCCTTCATGGAGGTTGAAAGTGGATAATGGAAGCAAGGTTTGTGGTTTATATAACTTCAATGAATGCATATTTTAACATAATCCGTATTATGCTTATATAGCATATTAATATATTTTTATCATTTTAAAAGAAATTGTGTTACTTAGTTCCAGTTAGAAGATGCCAATAACAGAGCTACTACATTATCTAATCCAGATACCACTACAGCATATATGAGAAGACCTTCAGCGGGTACAAGTGTACCAAGACCATCATCAGCTCCAGTTGAAACCATTGCAACGAGTAGTGCAGAAACAACAGTGACTTTACCGCTGAGACGATCGTTAAAACAACCTGAAGATAAAGGTATAGATACTTATGTGTATAAGTTTAAATGTACGAATAAAAATTATTACTTTTGCTCATACGTTTCAGAACAAGATAAGGAAAATGATAGTAGAAATGCACAAGCTACACAAGCTGTTATACAAAGGAGACGAAGACCTAAAAGAAGATCTACTGGCGTCGTCCACGTTGATATGGACGTTAGTATCTAGTGTTAATTATTATTTCATTAATTTCAATTATTTGAGTTTATCATTTTTCGTGTTGAATATTTTATAGGAAATCGATCCCGAGAAACAAGACTTAACTGCTGGTGGGGATTATGATGACTCCAAGATCAACCACAATGAGGTAAATATATTAATTTTGTTTGTAAATATATTATTTTTTAGGCCTATAAATAACATTAAAAAATGTTTTATCTTAACAAATTTTTTAATTTCATAAATTTTATGTTAAAAAAGATTTATATTCAACATATATGTTGATTTTAAAATATCTTATATGATGTCCCCTTTCGAACTAAACAATTTTTGTTAAAACATCTTTTTGATATCTTTAATTCTACATAAGATATTCTATATACCTTGAATGGAAATAAAACAAATAGAAAAAATTTAATTAATCCTCTCTGTTATTTCATGTTTTTATGTCTAATAAGATATTTTTACTTTAATATTTCTATATTTGAATTAGTAACCATTATATACAAGTATTATAATATGAACGCAATTTCATGAAGCACACGCTTTGAGTTATTTTTGGATTAGTCTCTGGGAAGATTAACCTCTATTCGTGCTTTGTTAAAAATAGTTTTCCATTTCTTATCCTCCTATATCTTGTCACACCATATATTAAGACCAATAGCATGTATAAAAGTATTATAACTTTATTAATCTTTTAATTTTATACCTAAAACTATATAATTTTATAATTTCATTTTATAATTTTACATTATTTATTGCATACATTAAATCTCTTACAAATAGATAATTTTTAAAATATATTCAAATTTACTGAAATTATTATATTTATATAATTAGCATATAATAATTCGTATAATTCATATAATATATTAAACACATAATAGTAATAAGAGTAGAAACAAATAAAAAAAATTAATCATGAACACATGGCCTAGCTGTATCTAAAAATATTCTATTGACATTTGGAACAATGTGGTACTTTGACATTTAGAATAGATGAGAAAGAACTTATTTATTGTTTGCACTGAATACTGAATACTGTATATAAGAAACAATTTTTTTTTAAATTTAATTTTATAATAATATATGTATGATATATAAAATTTTTAAATACAAAGATATAATTATTTTAATTATTTTAGTGCTTAATCGTGTCTTTTACATTACTTGTAATATATGACATGTGTATCATATTCATAGAATTTATATATATTTAAAAATTCTTATTTAGATAAATTATTTTTATTAATATAATTTGATGTATTATAAAAATAAACGTTATATACATTCTTTCTAATATTTAATTATATATAAACGTTATATACATTCTTTCTAATATTTAATTATATATAAAATGTTTTAAAAGTGAAATATGAAATATATTTATTCTAAAACATACAATCTTCGTAATAGTGTAAGTTTATACATATGGCCTATAAATAGCATACCAAACTGATGCTTTAGAGTAAACTGGCTGATGTCTTACGTTTCTCCACCCAGTCTACGTCAGTCAAATACCTACTGTCATTAGAACTAGATCGTCTTCGAGTATATTGTGGCAAAGTGATTTTACATTACAAAGTGTAAAATAATACAAAAAATTTTAATTTCTTTCAAAAAATAATATGTGAAAAAATTATATTTAATTTAAGGGCAAAGAAGTTTAAAACAAGACGATTTTATCAGAAGTTATTTTATCAGTTTTATAAACAATGTCATCCTACAGAAAAAGATCTCAAGGAAAACCAACAACAGCTGCAGGATTGAGAGCTCAAGCGTCAGCAAATGGAAAATCAATTTTTGGAAACAGATCACGAAGTATTAGTGGATTATTTCCTTTAAATCAAAATAGCTATTCTGGTTTGTTAGGCATTACTGGAAATCCTATTGGATTACCAAATTTTTTCAATAAAACTTCAAAAAGTAATGAATCATATAGAAAAACTCCTTATTCAAATTCTACAAGTAATTTGAATTATCAAAATCCATATACAACATATGGTGGAACAGCATCAGGGTATGGAAGTATAACTCTGCCAATGAATATTAACTCTTTACGTTTACCATCTTCCATGAGTTATAATTATTTAAATCTTAATTCAATCAATCATCCACAAGTGCAAAGAACAGAAAGCTTTAATAAATTAAAAACAAAACCGGATGCTCATATTGGATCTAGAAGTTCTAGTATGCAAAGTTTAACCAGTTCTGAAGGATACATTGTAAGAGAATATATCAAAATATTTTACAAAAAAATTTGTTACGTTCTTTATAAATAAATTTATAAAAAATATGTTAACTTTTTTTATATACATTGCTTTCATTTGATTTTGTTTTACAGAGTGGAAATGATCGAACTGGAAGATCTAACAGACTAGGATCTATATCATCACTATCATCAGAAGCACCTTCTATGTCAGTTAGAATAAAATCTACAACTTCTGAGAATGGAGAATTAGATTATAAAAAATTATATGAAGAATCTCAAGTAGAAAATGAAAGACTTAAAGAAAAGCTTAGGCGATCAGATGAACAATTAAGAGAAACCAGAAATTTATTGGACAAAGCACAAAGTGCACAAAATAAAACAGTCTTATCTGAAGCTGAGAAGAGAGAAAGGAGAGCAATGGAAAGGAAATTGTCGGAAATGGAAGAAGAATTGAAAGTAAGAATTAGAAACATTTTACGTTTATATTTTTTAGTTACAGTTATATCCATTGTTTCCTAAAAATATTCAAATATTATCAAGGAATTTATTAAATTTATTAAACAATTATTTGAAACATTTTAGTTTTACTTATTATGTGTCATTATATTTTCATAAATTTTTTATGATTATATATTTTTTATATATTTATTAGTTAGAATGCACGTTACAATTTTTTGACAATTTTTTTGATTGTTATAACTAAATACAGAGGAAGGTGCCAGCATATCTGGAGTGGTTAATTTAAAAAAAAGATTCAAGAAGTATAAGCAGCTTTTAATGCATTGCTTTTTTCTTTATTTGCCATTTCTTGGTGCTTTTATTTTTAGTACTTCTTATCAAATAATCACGCTTATTTACGCAGTATAATGATTTTAATTGGTATTTTTCTTTTTTTTTTTCTTATTTTATTTCATTTTTTTTAATTTATAATCTGTGTGATTTACATTATCTATACATCTGGTTAATATGAAAATGTAATAAATGATGATAGAGTATATAGTATTATCTGATGGGGCCTTTACAAAACAAGCGAATTTTGGGCTAATCGTTTCACTGTTTACAGCAATTACAAAAGCTCAAAGCTGAAAATGAGAGATTGAAAGCCGAAAATCGGGCACTTACCCGCGTCGTATCCAAACTCACCAATACTACTAAATAGGTAAAGGACATAATGACAGCATCTGCGTTAACAGTGTACATCGTATTTCATGTACAATATTAATTAATTAATTGATTACTTACGATTTTTACGTTCTGATCGCAATATTGAAACGATGTCGCTCACTGACTTATCTTATAATACAGCTTCGCAAAATATACTACGCGTAATTGTGATCATTAAAATAAGTTTCATTTTAAGAATCTATAACAGCTTATGGTACAAAAATTTAAAGCTTTTGTAAAACTTTTTAATAGATATTATGCTATAATGATGTAAACAACATTTTTTTCTATTTTACTAATGATACTTACAATCTTATAATATATGCATTTTTATTGATTCGTATACATTTTATATTTTAAAATTCTTACATATGTGACGTTTAATAAAATTCACAAATATTTTATCATTAAATCATTTGTACCAATATAAATATTACATTAGTAAAAGCTAAGATATCAGAAACCTAATTACATTCTTTCACAAAATTAAAAAACGCAGCCTGTCCTTTATTTTAGTTTTAAATCTAATTGAGTTAAAAGAACTTTGTAATTATAATCAATAGAACATAAATTATTTTAGAATTTCACTTTAATTTAAAAAAGAAAGTTATAAATACTTTTTATTTCAACTATATGAAACTTTAGAAGTACTAGTAGTATTTTTAAACTTTTATTTTAAAAGGAAATATTTAAAATCGATATTTAAGAACTTGTATAACAATACACTTTTTCTTAAAAAAGCATGTTCAGAATAAAGTTATATTTTATTGCACTATGTATTGTTTGATACTCACATTTCATTGCCCGATTTATATTATGCATATCATTCTTTATTTATTATCTAATAGTAATTTTGTAAAATGCATGGAAAAATTAGATAAATAATTAGGAATAAAATTTGATCAAGTAATAAAGAAATAATTTACTTAAAAAATCATAATAAAATTGCATAAATTTGCAGCACAATAAGAACCAGAAATATAATTAGAATGTTAACTTGGAAACAGAAAATAATAAATATATATTAAACAAGCCAAGATATTGGGGTATATATTAGCTTTACATGCAATAATTATGTTTGCTTCTACTTTTTATTTATGCATATAATTTCAAAATTATATAACATACTATTAAGATTATAAATAATAAAAATATAACATACTATTAAGATTATAAATAATAAAAATATAACATACTATTAAGATTATAAACGTAATTCTCCAAAAATTTAAAAAAATTAACAAAATTCAATATTTTAGTTTAATCATATTATTTTGTTATATGTTTGCAAGATTTTTACATAGCAGTAAAATTATACTTGCTTGTTATATTTTATATACACTACTCCTTAATTTTAATGCACCTAATTAATTGTTATATTGTTTTACAATTATATTATAAAATAATTTCTATATCTCTAATTACAATAGCATTTGCTTGTTTCCTATTTTCTGTTTGAGTTATTTCATTTTGTTTTGTGAACCATTTATATTTATTTGACCCACTCTATAATGGCATTGCCTTTGTATTTCTTCCTTTATCTTTCTTTTTTTTAATTTCTTTTTAGTAAGGAATACAACTAAAAATGACATAAAGTAATTTTACTTTTTTTTTCTAGGTGATGGACCAATTGAAATGTGAAAACCAGAGGCTAAAAGATGAAAACGGTGCCTTGATAAGAGTAATCAGTAAATTATCCAAATAACTCTAATGGTCTTAAAAAATGACTGTATAGCGTTTCTTATGTTGCATTACAACTGCATTGAATGAATTGTTTTAGCTATAAAGTATCATGATCATTATTGCTAGTATTCTTACAATGTATATTACATCATCACATTATTGATGAATTTATTCTTAATGCTAGTAATTTAATTTATTATCAAACAAATCACTCGCGTGGCTGTGCCAAGAGCGAAGAGAAACATTGCTCCTATTCTTAGAATTGTGAATAGTTGACTATAAAGGATTTAGAATTTTTACTTTCTCACATGTAACTCTTCCTGTCGAAGATAAAATTCATGGTTCATTTTAGAGCCGGCGCTTTGTAAAGCAAAATGTACTTCGTTCAAATTGATAAAAAGCAAATGTTCTTTATGACAATTTTTTTAAAGAACTCACGTTATTAATGTTGACTCTTTATAAGGATATTTTGTAAATATGTAATAGGTAATAATAACGTGGCATTTTAGAATTAAATAAGAAAAATTTTTTACTTTCAAAAAACACATAACAGATATATATCGAATTTATTGTATAAACTTGTTTCCATAATTGTAATGCAAGCGAATACATTCGTAAAGTATTACAAGATTAATTAGAACAATAAAAAAAAAAAATGAATTAAGATGATTTTCATGCTATTGAAGTGGCCTTTCCTGGAAGACTGCAATTTATAATCCTTCCATCATTGCCATATTTTACAGAAAACAAAAATTCGTACACTAAATAATGTATGTTTTAATGTATTATTTTACAATTCTTGTTAATGAAATATAATTCAAACTAAAAATTTGTAATACATGGAAAAATTTTTAAAATAATATAGTTTCTAATAACTGATACCAACGATGGAAACTGTGTTATTACATTTAATAACTAATTTAGTGTACTTGATTGAAAAAAAGTTTTTTACTTTTTAAATAGTAATATTTCTAATGAAATTTTAATTTTGATAAACATAATAAATTTATAGGTAATGAGAAAAGGACAAATGATAATGTATGGGTGACATGTTTTTTAACAATGTTATTGTAAAAAATTGTACAAAAGAATAGTTATTTCATAATAATTGTTACTAAATAACAATTCTGCGTAACTGTTTAGTATATATACGTACTTCCATTACATCATGTAATAGCTACTTGTACGGCTTATTGTACTTGAAAATTTGAATGAAATTAACATCACAGTATACAATGCTCATTATTGTATAAATTAAAAAAAAGTCCGTTTGTACAATTTGTGATGAGTAGTTCAATCTTTATCAAATATTTTTAAGCTTGAGATGTTTTACATTATGTACTTTTTGTAAGTATAATTATCTATAGTTCTAACATATATACGATTATGTACTGTATATATAATATTATTCAAAGAATTCAAATAATCATTTGTAAATTTTTGTTTGTATATTCGTCATTCAGTTTGTGTCAATGCATCTTTGTAACATTTATAAAACCACATTCAATATTTCATATAAACAATACAAAATGATTAAATCTTTGAAAATTCGTTTGATAAAGATTGATTCTGCTATGATATCTTGCACGATTATAATAAACATGTTCCACCCTCAGGTATCATGTAAATAACAGTCAGTGAATGTGGTCTGACATTTCTGTGAAATATTTTATAATACAATTAACACTGTTGAAAATAAAATTTTGTGCTGGTTCAAATTAAATTTTGAAATTACATAGGAGCCTGATAATCTCTAATTTGTTATCTGAAATATTTATTTCATATTTGGTTTTATATTTGTGATCGACAGTTTACAAAAAATAAATTTAGAAAAATTGCTTATATTTCGTATTATATTTTTAATGCAGTAATATGTAAACGTGTTAAAAAATAGGCACATTTAATTATTTATACAGTTATTATTAAAATGTTATATTACAGAAACATTTTGAAATTAACTCAATAATCTTGTCATAATTTTTGATGTTTTGGCCATATCTGCACGCTGTTCAGTAAGTAAAAATGTTTTGTGTAGAAATTTTTTAAATACTTTTTTACGTCCTGCTTTGTACTGTTTTACCAAATTGGGATTTGTTTTAAGTATTTCTAAACATATCATCTCCAATTCCTTTTCATTGGATATTATAAACCAATTATTTTCTTCAACAATCTACATAATAGTAAAGCAATTAATACTTAGAAATTAATTAGTATTAAAATTCATTAATACTTAGAAAATATAAAATAATTTAAATCTTTTCACCTGTTTTGGCATTTTATTTGGCTTGTTGAGTAATTCATTTAATAATTTCTTAAATGTTGGTTGATTTATTATTTTAGCTTGTATTAAGTCTATCAATTCTTCAATATATTCCTGATTATTAATACTAAAAATTCAATATATTAGTATTTCTCCTTTATACTTTATTGTAATAAACTCACCAAAATGTAAAATCCAAATTATATTTATTTAACAACGACAAAATTTCAGATATAAAAATTTTAGCCACTAACTGGGGTTCGCGATGGTTACCGTTCTTTAAGATGTCGCAAAACAGTAGATACCATTCTAAATCACTCTGAAAGTAAAATTTAATTTAATATATAAAATTTAATGTTTCAGATATTAAACATACTGTTATTGCTGCAAGTGTGTCAGGTGTAAGACTTTTGAGTAAATTTTGACGTATTTGTTCTGGTAACTCTGGTAATTGCTCTTTCAAAGCTGGAATATCAATTAGATCATATGTATTTTGTACATTTCTATTAACATATAAATGTAAGGGAGGCAAATTTGGTTCAGGCATAAAACGATAATCCTAAAAATTAATAAATGTTAAAAATTATTTTAAAAAACTAAACAAATATATACTATATTAATTTATAATTACATGTTTTTCTTCTTTCTCACGCATAAGAACTGTTTTTTTACTTAGTGGATCCCATGCGCGTGTTTCATTAATAATTTCTCCTCCTTTCTGTAGAATTGAAATCTGTCTCTTTATTTCATATTCTATAGCATGATTGATAGCACTTAAACTTGAAATGTTTTTTAATTCTGTTCGAATGCCTAAAGGTGCATTAGGTTTACTTATGGAAACGTTTGCATCAACTCGTAAAGCTCCTTCTGTAAATATAAAAAAATCTATTTATTTATAATTAATAATTATTTCTAAATAAAAGTTGCATGAATAAAATAACCTTCCATTTTACATGAACATGTGCCTAATAATTGTAAAATGAAACATAGTTCCTTCACAAGAGCTGCTGCTTCTTCTCCACTTGTTAAATCAGGCTCAAACACTAATTCCATCAAAGGTATTCCAGCTCGATTAAGATCAATTAAACTCCTGTTATAAATGACATATAATTGACACTAACAATATATAATTTATTTTTCAAAGTATATTTCAATTACTATAATTTATAAACTATAAAAAAATACTTAATACCTTCCAACTCCTTCATTATGAAGACTCTTTCCACTATCTTGTTCCAGCTGTATTTGTTTAATTTTTGATGATTTTGAGTAAGGTTGTTTATGCACTCCAGTTTTAAATACATTAAACTTAATTTTTCCATTAATGGCTAAAGGCTTCTTTTGTTGTGTAATTTGAAAGCCAGCCTATATAAAAAATTAATCATAAAATATATGTAAAGTAAATGTATGTGTATTATATATGTAAAATTTCATATTTTGTTTTAATTTACTTCCAATAATTATATTTTAAAAATATAATTAACAATAAAATATTTACAGGTAAATCAGAATAAAAATAATGTTTTCTCTCAAACATTGAGACAGCATTTACTTCACAAGAAAGCGCTAAAGCAGTTAATACCCCAGCTTCTACGCATTTTTTATTTAACACCTATAAAAACAATACAATAAGAAATTAATGAATTACTTTACGAAAATATTTATTGTACTTCACTGGCATTGTTCCTGGTATTGCGCAATCAAAAAGTGACACACAAGAATTAATTGGATTATTGAAATTTGTAGGAGCTCCAGAAAACAACTTTGATTTTGTTGAAATTTGTGCATGTATTTCCAAACCAATTGTAGGTTTCCATTCTTCCCTATATAAAAATATGATACTATTTGTACATGTAAATATGATACATTTATTCAACTAATTTCTTTAATATACTTACACATTGCCAGAAATAAATCGTATACATTTTTTGAATGTATTTTTATGATATTTTTTTATAAAGATACTAATATTTTTAGATAAAAACATGTTTAAAATTTTATTTTATAAACAAAAAGCTAGAGAACATATTCTTTTTCACTTAAAAATGTCTGTAATAATTGAACAAACTAAGTACAGTATACTATTATATAAAGATAAATGTTAATTTCTGTTAACTTATATATTTGAAATAAGTTTTTAATATGAAGATATTTTTTATTTATTATTATACGATCATTTAAATTACCGATATATCAAAATTTCAGAATGAGTATAATAAGTATAATATACTAATGCACGTTAATTCATTTCACAATTCTAATTCAAGCAATTTTACAATTACTTTAGTTTTTTGTATCAATTATAACGCAATTCGTAAAAAAAGATTAATATATTTCATAGGCTTTACAGAAATTTACAGAAACATAATAATATCTTTTTCAAGTCCTTTAAATGAAATAGTTTAAAGGAAATTAAATATTATTTAAACAAGTACTGCTATGCAACTTGTACATTTTTATACATGCATATAGATCAACTGAAACAAAAAGAGGACCCAGGTTTTAATTAAGAATACGCAATTATAAAAATTCACAAATTAATTCGTTTGATTGGTTTCTTTCTGCAAATGTAAGTTTAAACTAACATTATTACTATACAGCAACGAAATAATGAAACTAATCGCAATTACGATTCTTCATACACTATTGCGCTCTTCCTCTATTACGCGACACCATCCATTCTTGTTGCATACAATTCTTATTTATCACACAACATACATATATTTGTCCTTGTTGCACGTTATTTTCCTTTTTATTTACAGAAGAATACAGATACTACCATCTGTGAGCATATCAACCAGAAGATGTGACAAGAATAGGCTATGTACTACATCTACTTGACAATATGAAGATCTCTTACTTTAGTTAGCTCCGATAGATGACAACACCATAGACGAGGTAGTAGCGACTCCCACATAACCTAAGGTAACGACACCTACTTCCGCTCGAACTAATATAGCGACATCTACTTCCGCTCAATTGTTCTGCCGAAAGGTACGTTTCCAGTAAACGAAGAAAGAGAAACTAGAAAAGCGCGGTAAAAATTTTCCTTCATCTTATCACGACCGCCTAAGATACAGTCTTATTATAGCAACCGTCACAGTCTTATCACAAATGAGGTATATGAATAGACTTTGCATACAATGTATTTTTTCGGACCACGATTGGGGGGTCTCAGGACCCCCTTACCATTTTCGTGTCACATCTTGTTGTACCGATTCAGACAAGTTTTGCACTGCAGTACTACTAGTGATGAAAATTAAAATTATAAAATATGGACAGTATTGCCACACCTGCTTCGAGAATTATTTATTGAATTGAACGAGGCGATACTTCATCGATGAAGGAATATAACGATTTAAAACAGCGATTGATGGAAATTGGGATGAAAAATTCATTATATATTTGATTATTTACATCTATTTAAAGGTATTAGAAAAAATTGATTGAAATATATTTTTTACAACATAATTAGATATGAATTAGATGATGTTTTTTATTTATTTTAGTGTGTAACTTAAGAGTTTGAGTGAATCCTGTAAACTCGATTTTATAAAAGCTTGACAGTATCAAAGAAATGTTCCCACAAATATTGTTTGGTATATATTTGGTTCCACAAATAAAGTTATATTGTGTGGCGTAAATTATTTTTTGCAAATCGTTTGTTTTCGAACTTTTGAAGTCAAGTTGATAAGACGAATTCAATGACTTGCATACGAGGTTATTTGTTGTAATTGATTAAAAATTAATGAATTATTTTTTAAAACTTAGTAAAATGGCGAAAACAAATCATATAGGTGGTTTTAAGGGTTCGATGTAAAGAGAAAATTTCAATTTTCAAGATCATGATTGATCTGATCATAAAAAAGTTGTTCAGTGATGGAAAAACTTCTCTTTGGTAAGATGTTTGAATTTTTACAATTTTCGAGAAGAAAAGAATTTTTATTTTTACACTTGCTTTGAACGAAATGAACTCAGGATTGTTATAGTGGAGACTCCACTCTTTAAAATAAAATCAAGTTAATTGTTCTACAAATTTTTATCACGAAATTGTAACAGTTAAAATTATAACAGTTTAAAGTATTGACAATTTTTTATCTTGTATATGAATATTTTCGTTCTTTTTTAAGCATATCTCATGAATTTCATGTATTTGATTTAGAAAGTTTTTTATTTTTTATTCCAAATTAATATTTCGTGTGAATTGGAGTTAAATCAATTAAAGATTACAGCGCCAACGGCCAAAGACGGAATATACTTCCTACGATTCTCGAACTCGAAATCGATATTGCTTATGGTCGATTTTTAACCGAGAAGTGGCGGTTAAAGATGGCGGAGAGAAGCACGCCTCATTTGTAAAGAAGGAAGTATTATTCAGAAAAATCACCCAGAAGTATAATTCAAAAGTTCTTAGGCAAAAATTTAATTCAATAGCTGTTAGATTTGTTTGTGTTGTGTATTTTTAAGATAAAACTTGCATTTTTGCTTCAATTCATCAAGATCTGCCAGATTACCGAAAAAGTATGTAAGATTTAACCAAATAGTAATGACATAATTTTCACCAATTAAAAAAACAATACACATAAACATTTAGACAAACTATGCCAAAAGTTATTTATAATTTTATATCAAATTGAATTTCAATTCTAATCAGTAAAAATATTGTAACTTTGTAATTGTTTAATTTAGTTTTCTACACACACACACACACACGTATTACATGCTTTTATACACACTTTAAACTTCTATTATAACATTTTCTACTTATTTGTTGATTCTTTAATTTGATACTTCTTAACAATTCCAATACTAAATTCAACAATAATTTAAGAATGTATGTATTTAATAAAATAATTTTACTGCGTAATATAATAAAATTTTTCATTTCTCAAATAAAGTAAGACGTAGAAGGCCTTGAAACTCGAAATTCAAAACAACACAAACACAATGTTTATGTTCGTTTAACTATCGTGCCTGTTGATTCAGGATCACCTCATCCCCTACTTTCTCAACTGAAGGATGAAACGTGTCGTGGAGAGTCATTCGACTATCGGATTTCATAACAACAACACGTATTACGCCGCATAAGGTTTGTAACTTTTCTAACCTATCGGTGGCGTCTCTTCGGTGGCATCATTTCTTCGACACTCTTTTACTCTTTTACTTTCATTTATACCTCATTAATAGTATCATTTAATTAAGTGTGTATTTAACGATTAATTGAGCCGTAAGATAATGAAATAGAGTAGATTTTGAAGCTTTTCTTTAGCTTCTGCTGATTTTTCTTCGATCTTCGATTTCATTCTTACGGTTACTGGTACTTTGTCTCGCACGCTTTTTCATTAAAATTTGAGGTTAATTATGGTTTCACTTTTACATATTTGCCTTCATTGAACATATTTGTTCTAACTTTGGTTTCTCTTGTGCAGGTTGGTCTCCTTAATTGCAGAGATAGCATAGAACGCATTGATGCCACGATCATTATTAACGACAATTTGATGAATTTTCACGGAAATTTGGTAACATTTTGTAAATACATTGAATAATATTTGGTNTCTAGAAAAATAGCAATATTTTCTAAATGAAAGTATGTTTTGCCCTACCTCTAATCAGCTTTATTTTCAGAAAATTTTTGTGACCGCGCGCAATGCGATCGTAGACTCAGTGCTTCTTACGAAATATATAATATTCAATATTTCTCTGAGCAAAATGGCTCTTGTTAAATTGAATAATTCATTTAAATCATAGTTCGCGAAGTTAGAATCAGTGAGTCCGCCGATTATTACTTAAACCCGCGCGTTGATAGTCTTTTGTTTTTCTTTTTTGTATTTTTTTCTTCAATATTCGTTTTCGGTATTAGTGTCAGTGCTCAAGAGGATAAGGCTTCTCCGGGAGATCAAGATCGTAAGTAATTTTACATATTGTACTTTAATTTACTCAATTTAACAACAAAGTATAATCTTTAACGTTTTGTCATAGACGCTTCACATCAGCAATAATTTTTTTGTATTTTTTGGGAAAAATCCAACGATGGCTTTAAAGCCAAGAATGTAAGAATCTTTCATGATCTCTAACTTAAGATTTCATGCTTTACTTTCAAATACAAATTCCAATGTTTATGTTTTGTTACAGATCTTCTACAGTCTCTCTACTTTCTCTAATCCTCCAACAATCTAACGATGCTTCAAAAGCTAAAAATGTAAGTGTTAGCATATTGTATTTAAATGTTATTCTTTATAATTTTCTTTCTATTGAAGTTGAATGTAAAATTATAATTATCAAATAAAAACACTTCAAATTATTAATCCCAATTTTTATTATTATTATTATATCAAAATTTAAATGTTCACAAATAACACTGTGTTTTTAGAAACAAAATGTTTTATGTATTTTCAGAAATTTTCCACCTCCATCATTTTCAATGGTATCTACCTGATGATGAGAGTCTTCACGATAACTTTCTCTGTCCCAATGCAGCATGGATGATAATATTCTTCATATCTATAGCGTGAGTCGCATGCATTTATGTTCCTCCGGTCACTCAATCATGTCGTAGGACAAAAGGTCCGAAACGGCACGGGTGACTGGTTGTATACGTAGAATTTTTGATGAGCATAATGACCGCGGGTATTTTTTATACTCGTGAGTAGTAACAATTTTTTCAAATTTTTTATGTATTAGATCAGGATAGGGCTTCTTGCACATCGCGATTTTAACAATTAAAATATACATTTATAATATTTATAATATACTTATAATATTTATAATTATAAAATCAAAATATATTCAATATAAATGTTTGGATATGAATATCCGTATGAATAGATAAATTATAAATATTTATAAACAATTATTATTAAAACGATTTCGTTCGTTACATTTCATAATAGAGAGGATGGGTACCCTCCGACTTCGTTGCTATGAAAAATGCAGTAATTATGTACCCATTGATATATTTTGTTACAATAATTAACAATTAATAATTGTTGTAATAATTAATAATTTTCGGTTTTATCCTATCTTTTATAATAGTATTAAAAATGATTTAA